TCCCTAAGAAAAAAAATCCCCAGGCCCAGATGGATTCATAAGGGAATTCTACCAAATACTTTAGGAACAGTTAATCCTAGTATTATATAGACTATTTGAAAAAATAGGTAAAAAAGGAGTTCTGCCAAATTCACTTTATGACACAAGTATAATTTTGGTACCTAAACCAGGAAACACAAAAACAAGGAAAACTGTAGACCAGTTTCTTTAATATATGTAAAAAAATTTTAATGAGATTCTAACAATATATCACAAAGATCCTACACTGTGACCAGATGGGATTTACAGCAGGAACACAAGGCTGGTTCAATATTAGGACTATATCATTATAATTGACCATATCAGTAACAGAATCAACAGAAATCATGTGATTATCAATAGATGCAGGAAAAGCTTTTGACAAGATACCACACCCATTCCTATGAAAAACAAGAGAAAGCATAGGAATAAATGGAGCTTTCCTTAATATGACAAAAAGTACGTGTGTGAAATGAAGAGCACGCATTATCTGTGATGGGCATAAACTAGAAGGGACCTCTCAGATAAGTTCAGAAGTGAAGCAAGGATGTCCATTATCACCACTGTTATTCGGTATTATACTAGAAATGCTAGCTATAGCAAAAAGGCAAGAAAAAGAAATTGACGGTATAAGAATTGTCACCAAGGAAACAAAACTCTTGCTCTTTGCAGATAATATGATGGTAGACTTAGAGAACCCTAGAGGATCAACTAAAAAACTAGTTGAAACAACTGACAACTTCAACAAAGTTGCAGGGTATAAAATAAACTCACATAAATCATTAATGTTTCTGTATGCTACCAACAAAACTCAGGAAGAGATAGAGAAATTCCATTCAAAATAACTGCAGACAATATGAAACCCTTGAGAATCTGCCTGCCCAGACAAACCCAGGGATTGTATAAATTACAATTACAAATCACTTTTCACACAAATCAAAACAGATCTAAACAATTGGAGAAATATTGTTTGCTGATAAGTAGGCCAAGTCAACATAATAAAAATGACAATTCTGCCTAAGTTAATTTACTTCAACTACCAAAGAATTATTTTGTCAAATTATTTTAGAAAATTGTTTTAGAATTTAGAATTATTTTAGGAAAAAAATGTAACAAAATTTATCTGGAAGAACAGAAGTTCAAGAATATCAGGGGAATCAATGGGGAAAAAAAATGTTACAGTAGGCAGACTAGCAGTTCCAGATTTCACACTATATTACAAAGTAGTAATCATCAAAACGATCCGGTACTGGCCAAGAAATAGAGTGGTGGATCAGTGGAATACATTAGGTACACAGTCTATTTACCCATTTATAATAGTAAATGACCATTATACCTTAGTGTCTGAGAAACCCAAAAATCCATGCTGTTGGGATAAGAACTCAACATTTGGCAGAAATTGCTGGGGAAAGTAGAAAGCAGTTTGACAGAAACTAGATATGGACCATTACCTTACACCAGATCCCCTTAATAAAACGTTTTGTTCTGTAAATCTTGGACTCAGTCAAAAGGCCGTACCCAGGGACCTAGAAGGCCACGTGTTTTCCAACCCTGGTATACCATAAACAAAATAGGAGAGCATGGAAAACTGTACCTCTCAGATCTCTGGATAAGGGAAGTGTTTATGGCCAAACAAGAGATGGAGGGGATTATGGGAAGTAAAATAGATAATTCTGGTTAGATGAAATTTTTTTAAATTTTTTAATTTATTTTGATTTATCAACAATCACTTCCGTATGCTTTTGAGTTTAAAATTTTTCTCCCCCTTCCTCCCCACCACCCTCCCCACGATGGCACACAGTCTGATGTAGGCTATACATATACATTCCTATTAAACATATTTTCACATTAATGATGTTGTAAGTAAAAATTAGAACCAATAGGAGGAACCACCAGAAAGAGGAAACAAAACTCAACAGAAGAGAAAAAAAAATAGCAATTCAAATTTCCTAGTTCTTTCTTTGGATACGGATAGCATTTTCTATCACAAGGCCTTTGGAGATGTCTTAGATCTTTGTATTGCTGGGAAGGGTTAAGTTTATCAATATTAGTCATTGCACAACGTGGCTGTTAATGTGTGCAACGTTCTCTTGGTTCTGCTCACTTCACTCAGCATCAGACCATACAAGTTTTTCCAGGTTTTTCTGAAGTCAGCCTGTTTATCATTTCTTATAGCACAATAGTATTCCATTGCATTCATATACCACAACTTGCTCAGCCATTCCCCAATTGATGGGCATTCTCTCAATTTCCAATTCTTTGCCACCACAAAAAGAGCTGCCGTGAATATTTTTAAACATGTGGGTCCTTTTCCCATTTGTATGATTTCTTTGGGATATAGCCCTAGAGGTGCTATTGCTGGGTCAAAGGGTATGCATATATTGATAGCCCTTTGGGCATAGTTCCAAATTGGTCTCTAAAATGGTTGGATCAGTTCACAACTCTACCAACAATGCATCAGTGGTCCAATTTTCCCACATCTTCTCCAACATTTATCATTTTCCTGTTTTGTCATGTTGGCCAATCTGATAGGTGTGATGTGGTACCTCAGAGTTGTTTTGATTTGCATTTCTCTAATCAATAGTGATTTAGGGCATTTTTTCATATGACTATAAATGGCTTTAATTTCTTCATCTGAAAACTGCCTGTTCTTATCCTTTGACCATTTATCAGTTGGAGAATGACTTGTATTCTTATAAATTTGCCTTAGTTCTCTGTATTTTAGAAAAGAGGCCCTTATCAGAGATACTGGTTGTAGAAATTCTTTCCCAGTTTTCTGCTTCCCTCCTAATCTTGGTTGCATTGGCTTTGTTTGTACAAAAACTTTTCAATTTGGTGTAATCAAAATGATCCATTTTGCTTTTCGTAATGTTCTCTATCTCCTGTTTGGTCATGAATTCTTCTGTTCTCCATAGATCTGACAGGTAAACTATTCCTTGTTCTCCCAGGTTGCTTATAGTATCAGCCTTTATATCTAAATCGTGAATCCATTTTGACTTTATTTTGGTATATGGTGTGAGATTTTGGTCTATGCCTAGTTTCTGCCATATTCTTTTCCAGTTTTCCCCGCAGTTTTTTTCAAAGAGTGGGTTCTTATCCCAGAAGCTGGGGTCTTTGGGTTTATCAAATAATAGATTACTATAGTCATTGACTACTGTGTGTTGCATATTTAACCTATTCCACTGATCCATCACTCTATTTCTTAGCCAGTACCAAGCAGTTTTGATGATTGCTGCTTTAGAATACAATTTAAGATCTGGAATGGCTAGGCCGCCTTCCCCTGCATTTCTTTTCATTAGTTCCCTTGATATTCTGGACCTTTTGTTCTTCCAAATTATTTTTTCTAACTCTATACAGTAATTTTTTGGTAGTTTGATTGGCATGGCACTGAATAAGTAAATTAGCTTAGGTAGAATTGTCATTTTTATTATATTAGCTCTGCCTACTTGATTAGATGAAATTAAAAAGCTTTTGCATAAACAAGATTAATGCAGCCAAAATTATAAGAAATACATGAAGTGGAGGGAAGAGTTTTGCAGCACATTTCTTTAAAAGAGGCCTTGTTTCTCAACTACATAGGAAACTCAGCCAAATTTATAAAAATAAGAGCCATTCTGCAATTGATAAGTGGTCAAAGGATATGAACAGGCAGTTTTCAGAAGAAAAATATCAGTTATCAATAGTCACATAAAAAAATGCTCTAAATCACCACTGACCAGAGAAATGCAAATTAAAACAATTCTGAGATACCACCTTAGACCTATGAGATTGGCTAGCATGACAGAAAAGGAAAATGACAAGTACTGGAGGGCATGTGGGAAATTTTGGACACTAATGCACTGCTGGTAGAGTTGTGAACTGATTCAACCATTCTGAAGAACAGTTTGGAACTTTACCCAAAGGGCTATAAAACTGTGCATACCCTTTGAGCAATACTACTACTAGGTCTGTATCTCAAAGAAATCCAAGAACAGAGAAAAGGACATATTTGTGCAAAAATATTTATAGCAGCTGTGTTTGTGGTAGCAAAGAACTGGAAATTGAGGGGATGCCCATCAGTTAGGGAATGACGGAACAAGCTGTGGTATATGATTGTGTTAGAATACTGTTGTGCTATAAGAAATGATGAGCAGGATGTTTTCAGAAAAACCTGGGAAGACTTACATGAACTGATTCAGAGTGAAGTGAGCAGAACCAGGAGAATGTTGTACACAGCAGCAGTAACATTGTAACAGTGACTGTGAAAGACTTAGCTACTATGATTGACAGTGATCTAAGACAGTTCCAAAAGACCCGTGATAAAACATTTTTTTCCATCTCCAGAGTGAGAATTGATGGACTCTGAGTACAGATTGAAGTGTACTTTTAAAAAACTTTTTCTTTTGTTTATGTTTTGTTTTGCAATGTGGCTAATGTGGAAATGTTTTGCGTGACCTCACATGTAATCAAAATCAGACTGCTTCCCTTCTACTTGGGAGGGAGGGAGAGGATTTGGTACTCAAAATCTTAAAAAAATGATTGTTAAAATTTTTTACATGTAGTTGGGAAATATTTAAAGAAATAAATAAAAATAATTTTTTATAAAAAGAGTGTTTTTGTAATTGTAATTGTATGTATTTCTTGGTTTGAAGATTCCCAAGAGCTTTCTACAGCCTGTAGTTATTTTAAGTGGAGTTTCCTTTTCTAGCTCTTCCTGCCGGGTTTTGTGGACGGTACACAGAATCGCTTCTTTTTTTCTATGCTTAGTCCTTCACCTTCTTTTTCTCAACTCACTCCTACAGCTAGCGTCTGTCGCACTCTATAAAACAGTGGTGGTGACAGTGGGCCTCTGCTGTACCAAATCTTGATCTTCACAAAAAGGCCAGTAGTTTATCCTCATAACATATCATGCTGGCTCTTTGTTTTAGAGAGATATGCGGTTTGAGAGAGCTTCTTACCTGATATAATACTGAACATCACTGTGCTGCTTCTTCTTTGGGTAGGTGTGAGAAAGGCGTGATGTCCCTAGTAAATGTGAGGAATTGTATCCGTTTCTACCAAACTGCCGAAGAATTGAATGCCACCACTTTGATGAACTATTGCGCAGAAATCATCGCCAGCCACTGGGTAAGTTCTGCTCCCCATCTCTCCTTTGTGTGTATGCTTCGGGAGACCCGGCACTGTGGCAATGAAAAGGCAGCTCTTCCGGTCTAGGAGCGAAAGAATGTAAAGCGTTTAAGTGTGCCCTTTGGGTCAAGCTCAGGGGATACAAACATCGAAGGGGGACGGTCCCTGGCTTGCCTGTGGAACTCTCGCGAGCATCACTTTTCTGTCATCTGGAATTTCCTGTTGTGCTAGGAAACGTTCTGGACGAAGGCGCTCCTCTTTGGTCCTCAGCACCGCTGGTAAAATGAGCCTAGCGTGAGGCAGAGTTTATGTGGTGCGTGAGCCCAGGTCCAGGGGTAGAGGAATCGCCCTGAACCAAGAGGACCATTCTCGCGAGGCTTTCTATAGATAAAACTAAGTCACAGAAGCAGAGAAACAAATACTTTGACGTGTTACAATCTCATGTCTTCTTGTAGGCGGTAAAAGTGAAAAAAGACAGATTCATAATCCCCCGCTTCCTCAAGTGTTGTCTCAGTTGAACAGACTTGGTTAAGCAGAATCACAGTCTTATACGATATCTGCCAAGGAAACAAACCTGCTGGGGAGCTTCCCCCTGCAGCCCCACCCCCCACCTCCCTCACTCTTCACCCAGCTAGTAAGTGTCAAGTGTCTGAGGCCGGATTTGGTCTCAGGTCCTCCTGACTCCAGGGCCCGTGCTCTATCCACTGCACCTCGCTTGCCTTTCAGCCTCCTTTTGGGTTGTCTCCCTGTCAGATTGTAAGCTCCTGGAGGGCAGGGACGGTGTCTGTGTTTGTATCCCTGTGTTTTGCACAGTGGCTTAACGAATGTTTATTGACTGACTGAGGTGAGGAGAGAAGGCATTCTGGGCTTTGGGGCCAGCTTGTGAAAAGCCAGAGGTGAAGTGTTAGCCTTCAGGTGTGGGAAGGAAAGTTTTTGTATGTGCATATACATACATATATACGCACATGCACATTTATAATAGATACACACCTACAAGACATATTTATACATACATACAACTTTCATATTTGTAGTTATAAAATATGTAAAAATATTATACGTATTTATGTGCATATAAAACTTTGTATATAATAACACATACACACACGTAAAACAAGATGGAGAAAGTTGTTTGGGGGCAGACTTTGAAGGGCATTTGCTGCCCAGCAGGGAATGGGGTAAGAGTGGACTCTGGGAGTCTGTCGACCAGGGCAGCAGCACTTTGGGAAAGTTCCTTTGGCTGCTGAGTCAAGGGAGAAGGGGGTGAAGAGCTGAGAGGCTTGGGATAGATGAGTCCGCTCGGACAGTGGCCACAGTGGGAGTGGAGAGGAGCCAGGTGGTAGGGATGGGGGAGAGCTGGAAAGGGTGATCTTTGGAGACAGATTGGCTGTGGGAGGTGACGACAAGGTTGGGGACCTGGGGGGCCTCAGAAGTGGCGAGGTAGTTTGGGGGAAAGAGTGCGTTTTTTCTGAGATGCCCATCAGATGTGCTGTTTGGAATGCATCCTCGGCAGTTGGGGATGTCAGGGCTCCATGGGTCGGTCTGGGAATCATCAGATACTTGAGTGAGTTGGGACTGATGAGGTCACCAAGAGAGAGGCAAGGCAGAGGACCCAGGCCTTTGCTCGGATCTGCCCCTTCCCTTAAATAACTTAGAAACAACCCGCACGAGCCAGTGTTTGTGTCTTCTTCAGCTTCGCTTCCCATGCTTAGCTCATCCGGAGCCTTAGCGCTCCTTTCTCATCCTTGGTTTTCTAGTCTGTAAAATGGGAGTAGGGACAGTAGCTGCCTCTTAGCACTGTTGTGGTAGCCGTGTGAGGGAATGCTTGTTAAATGTTCTCTGTGATGGCTGGCTCTCATCGGGGACATGCCAGGACCGTGTCCGGCTTTATAGTCTTTCTGCATTATCTGTCCTGGCCTCCATCTTTTAAAAATCCCTGTGGTATCTGAGCACCCTCTGCAGCTGCATCTGAGTCATTAGAAAACCACTCCTTTCCATCCTCGTTGGAATTGTTCCTGTCTGTGTCTTTAGAATTTATTTCCTGAGAGCTTTCCACCTTCTTGGCTAAAGGAGAGTAAAGGGTGGGAAGGGAAGCAGAAGACAGCCCAAAGGGCTGGTTTAAATGACAAGGCATTTATTAAGTGCTTACTGTGTGCCACGGGCTGTGATGGCCTTTTGATGGGTAGAATTATCCTTAAAGCAAGTCAAGAAGCCATTGGCGTCTCTGCTTTGGAAGACAGAGGGAGAGTAGGCCACGGGGCCCCTGGAGGGTGGGGCCCGCCACCGGGGTCTCTTCAGCCGGCGCATCGGTTTGCTCCGCAGGATGACCTGAGCAAGGAGGACTTCAGTAGCATGAGTGCACAGCTGCTGTACCAGATGATCCGGTCCAAGACGCAGCACCCACTCCACAAAGCCATCCGGCTGGAGCGCGAGGACGTCGTCTTCCTCTATCTCATTGAGATGGATGCCCAGGTACTGAGTGCCCTCCCTGAGGATCGGAGGCGGGGGGGGGAGGGGCAGAGGACACGCATAGGCACATATATGCACATGCACACACGCATGCACTTTGGAGTAAAAGCTCTCTGTCTGGCTGAATTAGAGGCGAGAATGGTAAAGTCTCTTTGACCCAGAGCCCCTGGAATTGGTGTGTACCATGTCCCGAATGAATGCTCACTACCTGACTGTTTGTAATAGCTGCCCCTGAAGCTGAATGAGCTGGATCCCAATGGAGATCTCGCTTTAGATCTCGCCCTCTCTCGAAGACTGGAGAGCATCGCCACCACGCTGGTGAGCCACAGAGCCGATGTAGACATGGCGGACAAGAGTGGCTGGAGCCTGCTGCATAAAGCCATCCAAAGAGGTGAGGTAGGGGGGCGGGCGGCACCGTCCCCGGGAGGGCTTCCCCAGTGGGCCAAGGCCAGGGCGGCCTGGATGCTTCTGGAGCGGCCTCCGTCCTGGGCTCCTCAGCTCTGGTGTCGGGCGGGGATTGACCTGACGCCATTCTAAGTCATTTGGCCACAACCTCTACAAGTGAGCTGCGAAATCCTTTCATGTAAAACAGCATCCCCTGGTAAGATCTATGGACTTACCTGGAAGACCAAAATCAGTGTTCTCAGAGCAGCCCGAGGGGCATGAGTGGCATTAGCGAACTCGTCGGCGTTCTCATCTGCCAGTGGACGAGGCTTCGTTTCCTCATCTGAAAACGGAGGTGATAGTGCCCTCGGACTTACCTTCTGGGTTGCTGTGGAGGTCCAGTGAGAGCATGCGTATCGAGGGCTAGATCAGACAGGAGTAACGCTGTGATGGGGAGTCGGTGCAGATGAGAAGAGCCTCGTCAGCTGGGTGACTCAGTGGCTGGAGCGCTGGGCCCCGCGTCAGGGAGGCCTGTGTTCGAACCTGGCCTCCGACCCTTGGCTGAGGGACCCTGAGCAAGTCATCTGAATCTCTGCCCTTGCTCTGCTGCCCCCTTTTCCCCTTTCCCTCCTGTGTCCTCATTGAGTAAAAGACATTTCTAGACCCAGCTCTGCGTGTGTGTGTGTGCGTGTGTTGGTGCATGTGTGTGTGTGTCCTTCCTCTTTTCGTCAGGGACGCTAGCAGGTCTTCGCGCGGTGCTGGGCGCTTCTGGGTGTGCCGTTCTGGGCTCTCGCACAGCATCCTTTGCCTCCGGGAGGCCAAGCCGCGTTCCCGGCCCTCGTGGCTGCTGCGCTGTGTGGGATCCCTGCCTGGCGCCCCCGGGCTCGAACCGTCGCCCTCTGGCTGCTGACGGGGAGCTCTGGGCTTTGGCTCAGAGTTCGTCCGAGGCTCTTCACTGGGGGGTTCTTTCCATCTCCGCTTTGCCCTCTGGTTCGGAGAGATCAGGGCAGCTTTCACGTCTTGAAATAGGACATTCTGGGCTCTTGTCTCAGTCAGGGCTTCAGGTGGTCCAATGATTACGAGTCTTGAATTTCCTTCTCTTTTTTCAGCCTTTTGCCTTTGTTTTAGTATTTCTCGCTGTCTCCCAGTCACTGCCTTCTTCCCGGTCCATTCAAAATTTCAGGGAGTTTGTTGCTTGGATGAGATCTCGTGCCTGTTGTGCCAAGACGCTCGCTCCCTCTCCTCTTTTTTCCTTCCCCGGTTCTCACTCCTTTTCACTTTTTTTCCTCTAGTGCTTTCGTTTCACTTATAAAAGCATTCAGCTCTTCTTAAAAAGCATTCTCCTTTCATCTCCTGCAAGGGTTCTAGTGGAGTTTTGCGCCCAAGCTGGATTTCCTCTGAGGCTTTGGGACTGTTCTCTTCCTCTGTTTGTGTCTCCCGTCACTACAGCAGCTCTCTCGGTTGGGGCTTTTAGTTTGTTTGTCTGCCGATTCTCCCAGCCTGCAGACTGAGTTTGGATTGACGTTAGGACTGGGCCCTGTGGCCCTCCTGGAGCAAAGGTCTGGGCTGGTCTTCTTGCTGCTTTCTTCGGGCATTGAATATTCAGTCATTTGAGGATCTCAGGGACACGTGGGCGGATGTAAGACCGCTGCCCCCTTGGTCTGGACTCTGCAAGTTTCAGGCCTGAGTCTGGGTCTGAGCTGCTAGAACTTGTCCCTTTCAGCTGACTGGGGAGCTCTGTTGGTTCAGAGCAGCAGAACCATAGATGCCCCTTTGGCGTGGGATTCCTGCCCTGGTTATTCCTCTGCAGATTGGGCTATATGACAGGAATGAGACCCCGCTCTGTGCCTAAGATCTGAGGTACACTGTTGCGGCTGGCTTCTGAACCTCCTCTTTTCTCGGCCTGTCACCCGAGGCTTTCTTTCTTTCTTTTTTTTTAATTTTTAGGCAATCAGGGTTAAGTAACTTGCCCAGGGTCACACAGCTAGTAAGTGTCAAGTGTTTGGTCTGAGGCCGCATTTGAAGTCAGGTCCTCCTGACTTCAGGGCCGGTGCTCTATCCACTGCGCCACTCAGCTGCCCCAACACCCAAGGCTTTCCTCCCCGGCAACAGCACCTCCACGACAGGACCCCGGATTTGTGAACCATACCTGGGTGATGGGGGACAAAGCCGTCCCCATCACTATGTCCCAGTACGGCTAGGGCACCCGTCCTCTCCTGGGCACCGGCGTGCTCCCACGTGGTGTGCGCCTGGCCCCAGTGTTTATCTGCAGTGTTCACAGACTGCCCTGTGTCGCTCTGGGCAGTGACTTTATCTGGACTTCCCCGCTGTGCGTTTTTTAGATCTGTTTGGGCGAGTTTGGTGAAGGGGAGCGTGCTCATGCTGGTTCCTGCTCCGCCAGCCCAGCTTGCCTCTCATCTCAGACAGCTTGGTGACCGTGAGGTGAAGCCGCAGAGCTGGCGGCTCCTCCCGTAAATCTTTACGTCCGTTGTGACAAAGGTTAAGAAAGCGAAGAAGGCCCGCGCAGCCCCTCCCGCGCATCCCATGCGGCATCACGCATGTCGCTCGCCTCTGTGGAGGCAGGCGCGGGGGAGCATCTTCTGTCACGCCTCAGCTTTGGGGGTTCTCTTCTGTTGCCCTGACTTCTGGGCCTCCGCTTGGCACCCCCTCTTCTAGAGCCATTGTCACGTTCTCATCCCAAACTGGGCCGCTGCCTCCTGGGTCTTTCTTTCCTCCCACCACCTCTCAGTGCATCTGGCTCCCACCCTGGAAGTCCTTCAGACCTCCTCCCTCGGGTCCCATCTGCCATCAAGGCCTGTTGGCTCTACCTTCAAGCTCTCTCTCCTCTGACCCTGCCCCCACCTGGTGCAGACCCTCATCTCCTCATGCCGGGACCACCGCAGTAGCTGCTGGCTGCTGGGGGTCAGCCTGCCTCAGTCTCTCCCCACTCCACCAAAGGGCTTTCCCAACGCGCAGGTCTGCCCGCCGCTCAGCAAACTCCAGGGGCTTCCTCTCCCTCGTAGGAGAGGTGCCAGTGCTCAGGCTGGCATTCAGCGCCCCTCCTCCCTTTCCAGTAGTCTTCACGCCCTCCCCTCCCTGCAGCGCAGATGCTGACTCAGTGACCCTGGCCTTGCTGCAGGACACGTTCCCAGCTGCGGTTCTCCCTGGCTCCTCGTCCGCCCTCCCCATCGCCCTTTGTACCGGCACCTTCCTCTCTTGGTCCTCCCAGGTGACCGTCTGCGCTCCCTGAGGGCAGGAGCTGTCTGTGGTCTTCATTCCTGTTCTCAGCTCATAACACGATGCCTGGCGCACAGTGGGTGCTCCACCGACTAGCCAGAGGGCCGCTCTCACGCTCTTGGTTCTGGGTTGCCTCAGTGGGCATTGCTCTCATGACTTCCAGTCACTGTCCTTTGCCCAGCTTCTGTCCTGTGCCTTCTGAACGCTCTTTTCTTGAGTCGAGGCTTCTGTGACTCCTTTGGGATGTCAGGGGCCTCCCTGACCCGGATTGTGGGCGACTTGTGCGTACTCAGGTAGGATTTGGTAAGCGTGATGCTCTGCTGCCCCTCAGCGGAGGCAGGTGGACATGGACAGAGTTCTCCCCTTCCTGGTGGGTTTGCTGAACCGGGGTCAGAGTCAGACTCTCGGGTCCTGTGCTCTTCTCCCTGCTGGATGCCCCAGGGGAACCCTGCTCCTGTCTGCAGGCTCTTGGGCTGGGCCTTGCGTGGTGGCCACTCACAGACACCCCTTGTGGCTGCATCCTCACAAGGGTGTCTGGGACGGTGAACCAGCTGGTGCTGGTGGCGACCAGGGGCCAGGTCCTGCTGCTCTTTGGGAATGAAGTCTGTTTGTTTATGGGGAGGAGCCCGAGGATCGCGCCTTCCACGGTCTGATGAAGTCGACTCTCGGCTGGCCTCCCAGCAAGTGTGTCTCCGCCTTTGACTCAGGGGCAGCCTGGCTGCATCCACCTTGTTCCAGAGCATTCTGATTTGTGAGAGACCTTTGGCCCTCCTCTCCATCATTGCCTGAAAACTCCTGAGGTTAGTGAAGTTGTTTATTCTGCCAGAATGTGGGGAGAAGTGTGCAGCACACGTGGGCCCGGGAGACGCCCCCCCAGCAGAGGAACGGTGAGAAAAAGAACAAGAAACTTGACCTCTGGCGTCCAGCCGGAGGCCGCAGACGCACAGCCATTCTAGTGGGAACAGCTCCACACTGGGGGCCACGCGTGTCCCGCCAGCCCCCTGCGACTGAGCCCAGGTCGAGGAATGTGGCCTCAGTCGGCTGCGTCCGGGCTCAGGCGGGGCCTGCTGCACCTTCCAGGCTCGAGTGCCAAGGCCCAGTCTAGAAATGGAAACTGAGATGGAAGGAAACAGAAGAAAGTGCCAGGCACCGAGAGCCAACGTCTCCGTCCTGGCACTGGCCCTGGGAGTTGTTGATGAAGGTGAAGTGACATGCCCAGGGTCACACAGCTAGTAAGTGTCTGAGGCCAGATTGGAACTCAGATCTTCTTGACTCCAGGCCCAGCACTCCGTACCTAGGGGTGCTGTCCACCTGCCTTAGGTATCATCCACAGGATTGTGTCCGCTGGGGGGGGCCCGAGAGGCTTCCTGAACATGCGGTGCCCAAGTTAGACCTTGAAGCCGGGGCGGATTTCAGGAGGAGCAGGGAGGAGCTGAGTGTGTTCTGCGGGGGGTGGGGACACAGGCAGCGATGGAGTGTCCCTGGGTTTGGCTGGGCACCATGTGCACCCCACGTCGCGTGGGGGAATAACGTGAAATGTAGGGATCGGAGGCTGCCGGCAGGCCATGGTCAGGGAGGCAGCGTTCCACAAAAGGGGACTCTGCGTTCTGGGACTTCCCCTTTGGTAAACCATGTGAATGGAAAGGTTTCTAAGTTTCTGACTTCCAGCCGCGTGTGGCACCCCGCGTTGGCGTCCCACTCGTGTGCCCGGGGCATTCTGTCGGCGCAGGGCCGTCCTCAGGAGGGCCACCTCCGGAGGGATGGCCACAGAGCCCTAGGGCAGGAAGGGCTCCTGGTCTTTGGAAAACTCAGAGATAATCCAGTCCCAGCTCTCCATTTTACAGAGAAGGAAACTGAGGCCCAGAGAGAGGTAATTCTCAGGGCCGGGATTCCAGATCCCTCCTGCACTGCCTCGCTTCCTGCCTCTCTGCTGGGGGTTGGACATCCGAGGCACTTGTGAAGGTTCTCAGATCCAAGGCTTAAGCTCTGAGTTAAGGCCTCAGGAGACTTTAGGGTTACTACAAACAGAGCACTGGGCTCCGGGGCCCTCCCAGGGACTCCCGGCCAGGGCTCGGCCCCTTCCTCTGGCCTGGTGCTTAGGACTGAGGTAGGAGCTGCCAAGTGACCGAGGGAAGGAGCTGCAGGGGCTGCCAGCCGTCAGGATCGACCCCACGTGCCCCACACAGCTTAGGGTGATCAAGCAGCTATTCATTAACCTCCTGCCGTGTGCCCGGCTCTGGGCTGTGCACGGGGGAGACAGGGCGGCCGCGTGTGATCATTCACGTGAAGTCTTTCAGATTGGTGAATTCAGCCAGTCTCATTCGCCTTGAGAAGCAACAAGCTTCCGATGCTCTTTATCAGGTGTCGCTTAGCGGTCCCTAGGCCAGATGCCGGTGGGGGGTGGGAGTCAGAGAATAGAATGCATCCTGCCCCCGTCGCCCTCTCCTGGAGCAGAGAGGGATGACCTCGAGGGGCTGCCAGATCTGCTGCCTGCAGTGCCCCTCACCTCACTTCTGAAGCAGGATACGCACCCCTCTGGATCAGGGTGCTGACACGTCTGCTCTGCCTGAAGCCGTTGTCCACCGATACCTTCCAGGGGGCCTGCTGGCCAGAAGTGCCGTGTGTGTGTGTGTGTGTGTGCGCGCGCGCGCGTGTGCGAGTGTGTGCGTGTGTGAATGCAAGTGTGTATTTGTGTGCATGTGAGTGTAAGCATGCATGTGTCTGCACATGACTGCACGCATATGGGGGGAGTGTGTATTTGTGTGAATAAGTGTGTACTAGCATGCATATGAATGTATATGTGAGTGTGGACGCATGTGCTTGTGTGCATTGTGAACGTGAGTGCGTGTGAGTTTGTGGGCACGCGTGAGAGATGTGTCACAGTGACCTCTTTGATAGGAGACAGCTTTGCGGCCACCTTCCTCATTAAGAACGGCGCCCTGGTGAACGCGGCCACCGTGGGGGCCCAGGAAACGCCACTGCACCTTGTGGCCTCGTCCAGCTGCAGGAAGGGCCCAGCCGACGTCGCGTCGGAGATGGTGCACATCACCGAGTCCCTGCTCCAGGCCGGGGCCAACCCCAACATGCAGGATGGCAAAGGCAGGTGAGTGCCGTGTCCTCAGACGGCGGCTCTGGCTGGAACCCTGGCCTGGGGGAGGAATGAGGATGCCGACGTGTTGGTTCTGTTGTTTGCCGGAGAGTGGACGCCCCTCCGCACGAGCCGGCGGGGGGTCTCCTCCGACCCTTCCCCCAGGCGGGCCCGGGCAGCTCGTGGGCGGTAGCCCCTGCCCCCCAGGGCCTCTGGGAGGGCTGGAGGGAGTCAGGAGGAGGGGTGGTTCCTACTCGGTCTCCCCCTTCACGTCACCGAGCAGGGAGCTGAGGCCCAGACGGGGCAAACGCCACAGGTTGCAGAGCCCAGGCTGGGGATGATTGGTGGTGAGAGCAGCTGCCCTCACCTCCCTCACAACCCTCTGCGAGCCAGGGGCCCTGGTGCTGGTAGCAGCCTCCTTTGGGGGGGGGTTTGGGGGGCTCCCGCCTCCTTGGCTCTCCACCCCCGGAGGGCATCCCACAGTGACCGTGTGTCCCGCTCTCTCTCCTGGCAGGACTCCATTGCATTTGTCCGTCATTTCCAGGAATGACATCGTATTCAGTCAGCTGCTGCAGTGTAAACAGTACGTACGAGGGTTGGAGTGGGGGGGGGGCCTTCCCTTAGAGTGAGCTCTGGACACCCGCAGCCGTGTCCCTCGAGCTTGGCCGGGGTCAGTCGCACCAGCCCTGAGGTGGGGCTCTTCCCCCGAGCCTCCCAGATGCACCGCGTGTGTCAAGGACAGCCGACCCTCAGGGCGTCCGGTTTTTCGGAATGCTCCCCAATCCAGAAATCGCTTCTCGAACTTCAGCTGCATCTGGAACGAGGGTCCAAATGCCACATTCCAGGCAGGGTCCCCTCCCGGAAAGCTGGCTCTGAGGGTGCCCGTCCTCGGCCTCTCCCGTAGGTTAGATTTGGAGCTGAAGGACCACGAGGGGAGCACAGCCCTGTGGCTGGCCGTCCAGTACGTCACGGTGTCCTCAGACCAGGCAGTGAACCCCTTTGATGATGCGCCCGTTGTCAACGGGACCTCCTTTGATGAAAACAGCTACGCGGCCAGGCTGATTCAGCGAGGCAGCAACACGGATGCGCCCGACACAGTGACGGGTAGGTGGGCGGCCCACGGACCCACCCGCGGACCTCAGCGGCCATCTCCTTCTCCTTCTTCTGATTAGGCAGCGGCTAGGTCCCGGGGCTCCTCAGGACCCCCTCTGGCTGAGGCCGCGATTCTCCCCCTTGCCACAGACTGTTCCTTCGGTCGGCCTTCTCGGGGCCCGCTGCCGATGCCGTCTCAGGGTTGGCCGGCTCTCCCCCGGCCCCCAGCCCCAGGCTCCCTCAGCCGCTGAGGCCTCTCCCTGTGCCCATCTGTTGGCCCAGCTTCCTTCCTGTTCCCTTGTGCTCCTGTGATGCAGAACGGCACTGGGCTGCCCGCCCTCCGCTCCTGGCCGTGACCGTCTCGAGTGCCCCACGTCCTGCCCAGCCTCGCAGCCCGCCATCATCCTGGCCCCCAGACCCAGCCTGAGAAGCACACGCGGCACCGGCTGTCCCCCAAGGCCCGATTCCTGGCAGCCCCTCCCTGCCCCCCGCCAGCCCCTGCGGGCCATTGTGTGGAAATCCACCCACATGCCATCCTTGTCTCCTTGTAGGAAGCTGCTTACTCCAGAGGGCAGCTGGGTCGGGCAATGAGGCTGCAGCCCTCTTCTTGGCAGCCAACGGAGCCAAGGTCAATCACAGGAACCGGTGGGTAAGTGACAGTGGCCGGGAGTCCTCCAGGTTCCGCGCCCTTTGGTGGGGCTGCTGAACCGCACGCTCATTGGGATCAGCAGAGGGGCGCGTGCTCACCACTGACCAGGGGAGTGGCGTGGCTATGCCAGTGGGAAAGGGGAGAAATCCAGGAAGGCTTCATGAAGGAGTTGGCATTTGTGGTGTGGAAAGAAAGGGAACAAGCATTGTTGAGGTGCCTGCTGTGTGCCAGGCACTGGGCTGAGCGCTTTGCAGGTAGAATCTGACAGGATCCTCACCGCCACCCTGGGAGGGAAGGCTGTTTTGTCCCTGAGGCAGACAGGGTGAAGTGACTTACCCAGAGTCACACTGTTAGGAAGCATCTGAGGCTGGATTTGTACTCAGGTCCTCCTGACTCCAGGCCTGGCACTCTGGGCGTTGTGGCGCCCCCCTCACTGCCTGCCACCCTAGGTGCATTTTGATGGATAAACTCTGGGAGGAGGGGGGACTTTCAAGTGCAGTAAATGGACTGAGCAAAGGCATGGAGGTGGGAACTCTGAAGGCCTATTTGAGGACATCATGCGGTCTCCTATGCTTGAAAGGCTGGGAAGGTAAGATGGGGCGAGGCCGTCGAGGACTTTGGACTCTTTTGGGCTGAGCTTTGAGCAGACCGATGCTTTAAATCTCGACCGCCGTGGTGAGGGTCCTCGTGCCGGAGGCCTTGGGCCAGAGCTGGCTGATGGGAGGCGGCCTGGCTGCGGCCTGCCTGGGAGCCGGCAGAGCAGCCGCTTTTGGGAAGGCTGTCCCAGTGTGTCGGGCCTCTCCCTCAGGGACAGCACCATTCAGTCCAGGCTCCTGTGTGGGAGACACTGGACAGACCAGGAGGAAGAAGGACCTTGCCCCTTGCTGGGGCTACGAGGGAAGGGTGTCAGTAGGAGGCAGGGTAGTGAGGGCGGGGAGGGGGAGTTACTGAACAAGAGCCCGGAGAGGCTGCTCATCTCCTTGGGCCGGCCCTGGGAGTGTGGGATGGCATCAGGAGATGCCAGCCTGTGCAGCTGGTGTTTCACCATGTCCCCATTTTGTTTGGGGGTCCTGGAAGCCAGCAGCTTATGAGTGGGCAGAAGGCCAGAGGAGGCAGAGAGACTGGGGAGGGCGAGTCTAGGACCACGGAAGTGGGGGCTGCTGTGGGATTTTCACCTACTGATCACTTCCCATGTGCCTAGGCAGGTTGGGTGTGGGGCAGGGAGGCAGGAAACATTAGTGGGCAGCATCTGGTCCCAGAGAAGCAGGAGGACCAGGGCTGCCCCTTGGCGAGCCCTGGGGAGGCTGGGACATCAGCTGAGCCCCAACACACAGGTCCAGCCTCTGGCCTCACACGGAGGCAGGGCCTGGCTGCGTAAACATGGCAGCTGCCGAGGGCCTGGGCATCGAATGTGGGCTGGCTCAGGGGCTTAATTGTAGCCTTCTTGGGGTTGGGGGGGAGGCGGGCAGGAGAAAGGAGGAGAAAAGAGCAGATTAAAATGTGCCCAGCGCAGAATGAGAGAGTACCACAAGGAAGCAAGGACCCAGCTGGGTGGCTCGGACGCGACATGTAGCATTGGTTCTGTAGACTTTCTTGAAATGGGAAGTTATCGTTGTGGATTTCCAGTCCTCTCTTACCTTCTGCAGTGCACGTGGCAGCCCTTTTTTCTTTCCTTATTAGGTGTTTAAGCTTAAAAGAAAGTGATTTTTTAAAAAAGGATTAGGAGGGTTAGTGCCTGGAGGCCACCACGGGCAAGGGGCACCCGGGCCCACGGGCTGCTGGTGATGCCTGATTGACTGAGAACATGGGGGAGGGTCTTCAGCAGAGCCCCAGTACGTATCGAGGTGCGGGCAGGGGGTCAGCGGGGAGGCGGCCCACGGTTCTTCTGTTTGCTTTTCACGAGGGACCGTCTCGCCGTGTGTTTCTGTTCAGGGAGAAACGCCGCTGCACACGGCCTGCCGGCACGGCCTGCCCACCCTGACGGCCGAGCTCCTGCAACAGGGCGCTAACCCGAACCTACAGACCGAAGAAGCCCTGCCCGCGGGCCCAGGCCTGGGTGAGGGCGTCTACCTGCAGACCCCGCTGCACATGGCCATAGCTTACAACCACCCTGATGTGGTGTCTGTCATCCTGGAGCAGAAAGGTGAGCCGCAGTGAGGGGCCCCCTCCCTGGGGTCCCCGCCTCTTTCCCCCCCCCCCACGAGTCCCCTGCTCTTGAGCCTGGGGGCTTTCCGTGCTCTCTCGGGCCCCGCCACCCTGAGGCTGTTGGCTATAGCGCCCTCCCGGACTCTGCAGAGCCCCCGGGGTGGGCTGGCGGTGAGCAGGCCCCTTTCGTCCTGCAGCTGGCCGGGAGCGCGGCCTTGGGCAGCTGCGTCAGTGAGTGCTATGAGAAGTGCCCAGGTCGCCTCTGTAGCCGGGGCGGCAACAGGACTCTTACCTAGACCTTTGGCTGGGCAGGGTGGTTTTGCTTTTCTCAGACCAGGCCTCTCCCAGGGACGTCTGAACCTCCGTTCACTCTTTGAGATGGGTGTGGTGATGAGGAAGGACTCCAGAGGGCGGGTGTCCGAGGCGCTAACGAGCCCTGTAGCTGGGACCCGGAGGGTACCTGGGAGCGGCTCCCTTGGGTCTGCTCGGCGCTGGGTGACTGCGTGGCGGGAAGTCCTCTCCTGACTGGGGCAGCCCCAGAATGAGGAGGGCTTGGGGAAAGCCCCCGAGCAGGGCCGGCTGTGGCACTGGGGAAAGGGGGCTTGTTCTGACGTTCTCAGGGACCGTTAGTAGTTGGCTGGTAGTCCTTGGTGCTTGATGGGGACCAAAGTAACATCACAGCATCAGGCTCAAGGCGCGGTGCGTGCTGCCGTGGCTGCTGGCTGAACGTTTGGAGTGGAGACTTGTGTCTCGCATTTTTCTTGAGCTACTGCAGTTCTGCTTTGCTCATGGAGCACAGCGTCTTCCGTGGTGTGGGGGCACCACGCTGGGCGGTTCTGTGCCAGCGGTTGCCGTGCCAGGAATTAAGGGGCACGTTGGAGAGATTCTGATACCCAGATTTCGTTGAAGTTTGGTTTCCTGTGCGGACTTTGGGCACCACCAGTGGTCTGACCCAGCCTTTTTATTTTTCTTTTAACTTAGCTAATGCCCTTCATGCCCTCAATTCCCTGCAAATCATCCCAGACTTCAGTCTCAAGGATTCCAGGGACCAGACTGTCCTGGGGCTGGCATTGTGGACAGGTAAGGCCAAGTGCCAGGGGGAAGGAAATGCCAACGTGGACCACTTGCCTAGGGCCTGTCGGCGCTTCCAGAAATACCCAAGGGAGCCGTGACTTGAGCGGGCCCCGCCAGCGTGGCCTTGGACCTCAGTTTCCTTCTCTGCTGAATGAGGGGGTTGGCCTGAGGACTCTGGGATCCAGGTGGATTGCCCCTGAAGACCCAGGGCGTGTGGAGGCAGACCCTTTGGGGTGTTTGCTCTCGCTGTGTCCACGAGTGTGAGCAAAGCCTGCCTCGGGCCTGCCGTGTCTGAGCCGGGTGGGCATGTCTACACTGGAGAGCCCGGGGCACTATTGTGTGTGGGTTGGGGTTTGCGGTCTACACTGTGGATTGGGGCCTCTTGCAGGGATGCACACAATAGCGGCTCAGCTCCTGGGGTCGGGAGCCTCCATTAATGACACCATGCCCGACGGCCAGACGCTGCTGCACATGGCCATCCGTCGGCAGGACGACAAGAGCGCGCTCTTCCTCCTAGAGCATCAGGCGGACATCAACATCCGGTGAGACAGGGCTGGGCTGCAGCCCTGGAGGGACCGGCCTGGCATTGGGGTGGGCTTCTAGGGCGCAGCTCGAGGTGTTGGGCATGCGCATGTACAGGGCACGTGTGTGTGTGTGCAGGGCGTGCTCCTGGGGCGTGGCTCGAGGTGATGGGCGTGCGCGTGCACAGGGCACGTGTGTGTGTGTGTGTGTGTGTGTGTGTGTGTGTGTGTGTGTATGCGGGGCGGGCTCCTGGGGCGCGGCTTGAGGTGATGGGCGTGCGCGTGCATAGGACACGTGTGTGCATGCAAGGTGTGCTCCAGGGGTGCGGCTTGAGGTGTTGGGCGTGCCTGTGCAGGACACGTATGTGCGTGTGCAGGGCGAGCTCCTGGGGTGTGGCTCGAGGTGATGGGCGTGCGCATGTACAGGGCATGTGTGTGTGTGCGTGCAGGGTGTGTACACGTGTGTGCAAGATGTGCTCCAGGGACGTGGCTCGAGGTGTTGGGCGTGCGTGTGCACAGGACACGTGTGTGTGCAGGGTGTGCTTCTGGGATGCACCTTGAGGTGTTGGGCGTGCACGTGCACAGGACACGTGTGTGTGTGCAGGGCGTGCTCCTGGGGCGCCCCTGCAGAGCTGTCTGTGGGATGTCTGAGAAGGGGGCCCGTGCAGCCTGACTGCCCTCTGCCGTCGGGCCCCCTCTGACCTCCTCTGCTCCCTTCGCTGCCAGTCTTCACGAGGCGTGGTTCAGATCTCGTCCGGGATCTCCGTTGGCTCCGTTTCCCAAATTCCTTAATCTGGCACTCAGGCCCTTCCCACGTTAGATCGAAGCCCATCTTTCCTCCACCTGGTGCCCTTTCTTGTCCACTTTCATCCTGTTTTCTACCACCTCCACACCTTTGTGTGGCTGTGCCCCGTGTCTGGAAGGCACTCCTTCCACATCTCTTGTTCCCGTCCTGTTCCTCCTTCAAGGCCCGGCTTAGATGCCGCCTTTTCCCTGAAGTCTTCCTGGGTGTCCCCAGCTCAGAAGGACAGCTCCTTCCTGACCTTTGGCATGTTGGGCCCCAGAGAGAGTCAGGCCATTGTGTTTGACTTTGTGCCTTGTGAGTGTGGGAGGCGTTTCTCCGTTGGATCGCACCTGCCCATGGGGAGAGGACTTCCCCTTTTTCCTTGGGCCTTCAGTTCCTTGCACACAGTGGGAATTGGCAGAGAAAAGCAAATGTGTGGCCAACCACTCATCACAGCGGGTTGTCCATTGGTGCGCTGGCTACCCTGGCATGGGCAGAGGCAGAGAGCGAGAGAGGCGGGCCCTGGGCTGAGGCCTGGCCAAGGGACCTTCCTTGTGGCCTGTCCCTGGCCTTCTACGGGGAGAGGATGGATGTTCATGCGGCTGTGTGCGTGGGCTCTCCTAGGACCCAGGACGGTGAGACGGCCCTTCAGCTGGCCATCAAAAACCAGCTTCCCCTGGTGGTAGACGCCATATGCACCCGCGGGGCTGACATGTCCGTGCTGGACGACCAGGGAAACCCTCCGCTGTGGCTCGCCCTAGCTAGCGATCTGGAAGACATCGCGTCTACTCTGGTGAGACTACAGGCCAGGTGTGGAGAAGTGGGTGAAGGGATTAGCCAGACACCTCTGCCCAGAGATTGTAGTGTGGTGGGGGGGGGGAGGAAGGAGGGAAGGAAGGGAGGTAAAGAAGGAAGTGAAGAAGGGGAGGAGGAGGAGGGAGGGGCGGGAAGGAGAGAAGAGGCAGAGAGGCTCCCTCTGAGCAGGGCCCAGGCTGGCCCTCCCGGGGCAAGAGAGCTGAAGGGCTCCCCAAGCCCCGAGCTCCAGCATCGCTGGTCACAAGCATTCGGTGGGGGTGCGCCCGGTGGGCCTCCTGCCAAGCTCTAACGGGCCTAGAGCAGGCGCTGAGGCATTTGGCAGCCTGGCCATCTTGTCCGACTCTGCGTGATCCTATTTCAGGCTTTCTTGGCAGAGGTGCTAGTGTGATTTGACAGATGAGGAAAACGAGGCAAACGGGGTGAAGTCACTTGCCCAGGGTCACACAGCTTGCAAGTGTCCCCTGACTCTAGGCCTGGCACTCTATCCCCGCACCACTGAGCTGACACCAGGAAAATGGATGTTTCTGTTTGTTTATTTATTTTCGAGTGTGGCTGAAGAATGGGTCATGCTGTGAACTTACCAAGAAGTTGAGAAGCTAGTCAGTGATGGGCCTAGCTATGGGCTGATGCCTCGAGGCCAGGGGAGCTGGGCTGTGGCTGTGGGGCCCCGGCTCAGGCCAGCCTGTTCTGGGCTTCTCCTTCAGGTGAGGCATGGCTGTGACGCCACATGCTGGGGCCCAGGCCCGGGCGGATGTCTTCAGACACTCCTGCACAGAGCCATTGACGAGAACAACGAGTCTGTGTCCTGCTTCCTCATCCGCAGGTAGGAGCCCAGCCCCAGCCTCCCCCCTCCTCCTGCCCAGGCCCCGTGGCCACTGTGGCTCCCGTCATGACCCTTCCTGCGGCCTTGCTGCCCCCCTGCCTCGGCCGCTTGCTCTCCGCCCCTCAGGCTCTTCTGAGAGCTCAGCTCGGGGCCCCGAGCGGTGCCCCTGAGGCCTTCCCTGGTCTCCCCATTGTTAGCAGGAGCCGCCACTGTCACCGTGGGCCTGTGTGAAGGGGCGGTAGTTGTCACTGGGGGCACTGCAGGCGGTGTCCTTTCCCCCTCAGACCATCACCTCCCAAGTCTTCTCTTCTCCAGACTAAGCATGCCCACTTCTTCAGCTGATCCTTGGATGGCCTGAGGTGTAGGCAGATGCCGCATCGATGAAGGAGAAAATGGGGTCATTTCTGGGAGAATCTCGTTGGCCTCCCTGGTTTTGTTTCTGCTGTCAGCACTGGGAAGGGGACGCCCAAGCCCATCTGGGTTTCTTGGGGTTGGCGCTGCCCGATGGAACCCCAGAGGCCAGGGTGGCTGGGCCAGCAGGAGCAGCTTTGTGCCAGCCTTGACCTAGAGACTTCTGGACGGCAGGCTCGGGCTCAGGCCCCTCGCAGATTGGGCACGGCGCCTCAAGAGGTGGGAGGTGGGGGGTGATGCAGGCCAGTCCAGGCCTCGTCTGAACTCTCGACAACCTTCCTTCCTCACAGCGGCTGTGACGTGAACAGTCCGAGACAGCCGGGGGCTAATGGAGAAGGAGATGAAGAGGCCAGAGATGGACAGACCCCCTTGCACCTGGCAGCCTCCTGGGGCCTGGAGGAGACGGTCCAGTGCCTCTTGGAATTTAGGGCCAATGTCAATGTGCAGGTATGCACTGTGGCCCCGCCCCTGGGCATGTGTCCTCCCCTGCCCTCTGGCTGGCCCGACCCAGCCCCCTCCTGTCCTGCCTCCAGGCCTTTGCTCGAGCAGTTTCCTGTGCCTTTTCTCTCATAAGGCTCATCTGTTGCCCCCTCTCTTGCCCTGGGTTGTCAGTCATTTCCCTGGCTGGCTAGGAGCGCCTGCCTCTTCTCCCTGACCTGGCCAGGAAGCCCCCTGAGGGCAGACCCTCCTCACACACACACCCGCACAGAGGCTGACACACGTTCACTGCTGGATCATTTTCTCTTTAGCTGAAGTGGGATCTTCAGCCTGCAGCCATAAAACACGAGGGAAGTCTGAAGACCATTAGTCTGAGATCTCTGAGGGCCTGGCCGGGCCGGAGCACTGTCTCCCAGACCCGAGATCAGGCCCCTCGTTTGTTAAAGATTTGGGGTTGGTGCCTGCCTCCTCAGGACCCTCTTTGTCCTCCCGGCTCTGTCTCTCCTCTTGTGTTGTCTGTGCATTCGTGGAGGCCTTGCCTAGCCCCTGGGGGGCGGGGCCAGTGTTCACACCCCTTTAGATCACCCCACCGTCAGCATCCCAGCAGTGTCCCCTGACACGGGCAGGCGAGTCTTCTGTCAATGAAGAAAGATTTAGGGTTTGAGAGTTATAGCTGCTAATGGGGACTGTCCCACCTCGTCTTCGCTAAGTTTCGCCTTTTCTTAATTTAAAACATGATTTCAGTTTGAGGTTTTTACCCTCCTTGAAAGAGTCACTGAATTTGTGCTCTTGTACATGGAATATTAAAATGTATTGTCTTCTGTATCTCCTTATAGTGAGAAAAATAGTTTTGCTTTTAAAAAAATGGAAATTGAAATTCTTAGCATCTCAGAAACTGGGTATTGACCAACATTTCGCACTGCATACCTAGATAAGATCAGAATGGGGGCGTGATTTAGACGTAAAGGGTGATACCATAAGCAGATTAGGTGAACGAGGAATAGTTCACCTGTTAGATCTATGGATGAGGAGAAAATTTAGGACCAAACGAGATGCAGAGAGCATTATGAAATGTAAAATGGGCAATTTTGATTATATAAAATTAAAAGGTTTTGCACAAACAAAACCAGTGCATCCAAAATTAGAAGGAAAGCAGAACAATGGAGAAAAAAATTTATAGCAAGTATCTAATAAAGGCCTCATTTCTCAAATATATAGAGAACTGAGTCAATTTCATAAGAATACAAGTCATTCGCCAATTGATAAATGGCCAAAGGATACGAACAGGCAGTTTTCAGACAAAGAAATCAAAGCTGTCTATAGTGATGTGAAAAAATACTCTAAATCACTACTGATTAGAGAAATGCAAATTAAAACAATTCTGAGGTACCACCTCACACTTATCAGACTGACTAATATGACAAAAAAGGAAAATGTTAGATGTTGGAGGGGATGTGGGAAAACTGGGACACTAATGCATTGGTGGTAGAGTTGTGAACTGATCCAACCATTCTGGAAAGCAATTTGGAATCATGCCCAAAGGGCTATAAAACCATGCATCCAGCAATACCTGTACTAGGGCTGTATCCCAAAAACATCCCAAAAAGGGGAAAGGACCTATTTATACAAAAATATTTATAGCAGCTCATTTTGTGGTGGCAAAAAATTGGAAATTGAGAGGATGCCCATCAATTGGGGAATGGCTGAGCACGTTGTGGTATATGAATGTAATGGAATACTATTGTGCTATAAGAAGTGATGAGCAGGCAGACTTCAGAAAAACCTGAGAAGACTTGTATGGACTGATGCAGAGTGAAGTGAGCAGAACCAGGAAAGCGTTGTACACAGTAACAGCCATGTTGTGCGATGATCACCTAGGAATGACTTGGTTCTTCTCAGCAATGCCAGGATCAAAGACAGTCCCAAAGGCTTATGATGAAGCGTGCTGTCCGCCTCCAGAGAAGGAGCTGGCATTGATTGAAGTCAGACCAAAGCAGGCTGCTTTTTCACTTTCTTTCTCTTTTTTTTGCTCGAGTCTTCTTGTACAAAATGATGACGATGGGAATGTTTTCCATGATTGCACGTGTATAGTCCGTATGAGATTGCTTACCCTCTCAGGGAGGAGTAGAATTTGGAACTCAAAACTTTTTTAAAAACATTTTAAATTGTTTTTACACGTAATTGGGGGAAAATAAAACATTTTTTTATTCATTTATTTTGATTTATCAATAATCACTTCCATATGCTTTTGAGTTTTAAATTTTTCTCCCTCTCCCCACTTCCCTCCCCAAGACAGCACACAATCTGATATAGGCTATACATTACATTCCTATTAAACATTTTCACATTAGTGATGTTGTAAGTAAAAATTAAAACCAATAGGAGGAACCATCAGTAAGAGGAAACAAAATTCAACAGAAGAGGAAAAAAACAGCAATTCAGTTTCCATAGTTCTTTCTTTGGATGTGGGTAGCATTTTCCATCACGAGGCCTCTGGAGATGTCTTAGATCCTTGCACTGCTGAGAAGGGCTACGTCTATCAATGTTAGTTATTGCACAACATGGCTGTTACTGTGTACAATGTTCTCCTGGTTCTGCTCACTTCACTCTGCATCAGTCCATACAAGTCTTTCCAGGTTTTTCTGAAGTCTGCCTGCTCATCATTTCTTATAGCACAATAGTATTCCATCACATTCATATACCACAACTTGCTCAGCCATTCCCGAATTTATGGGCATCCCCTCAATTTCCAATTCTTTGCCACCATAAAAAGAGCTGCTCTAAATATTTTTGTATGTGTGGGTCCTTTTCCCATTTGCATGATCTCTTTGGGATACAGCCCTAAAAGTGCTATTGTTGGGTCAAAAAATAAAACATTATTAAAAAAAGAAAAGAAAGAAACTTGCCTTCCCTCTAGGATGCCGAGGGCCGGGCGCCGATTCATGTTGCTATTAGCAACCAGCAGAGTGTCATCATCCGGTTGTTGATTTCCCACCCTGACATCCGCCTGAACGTCCGCGACCGCCAAGGCCTGACCCCGTTTGCTTGTGCAATGACTTACAAAAACAACAAGGCAGCCGAGGCCATCCTAAAGCGAGAGCCCGGAGCTGCCGAGCAGGTACGTGAGCAAGGCCAGGCCGCCAAGGGGACGGCGAGGCTCGCGCTGGGATGCTGCCCGGCACACGACGAATGAATACTCAAGAGCATCCCATGATGGACGGAACAGAGCCAGGGGTGAGGTCCCGTGCAGCGGGTGTGCTGCCAGGGAGCTGGTCCTCTGATCGCCTGCTCATGCTTAGGAGCCCAGCAACCCCCAGAGAGGCTCTAGGGAAGGCGCTCAGCCAAGAGCCCAGAACATAGTAGGGGCTTCATCAGCGCCTATCGACCGACTGTGAGGCAGCCCCACCCACGCCCAAGATACATTTGGGTGTCACCGGGGGCAGGAGGGTGCACTGTGTGTGTGTGCACGTGCCTGTGCGTGTGTGTGTGTTGGCCGTGTGTGCAATTGTTTTAGAAAAAGAGGAACCTTTGAAGCTTCTTGCTCAGAATTTCAGGCCTCAGCAGCATCTGTCTTCTTTTCTGTAAGTGTGACAGAATGTTGTGCGTGGGCAGAGATCCTGAGGACTGAGAATGTTGGTGAATTCTTGGCAAAGCAGCTGCTCTTCTGCGCTGCCTGCGCAGGCCAGGGCTCCCTAGGGTGTGTGCTTGCGTGTGCACTGGAGGTACCCCCTGCTGCTGGCCTCCTTCCTGTCTGTGCACAGCCTGGCGACACGGGCGGCAGCTCGTCTCCTCACCTGAGTAAACCTCTCTGCCTCAGGGAGAGAACAGAACCAGGGAGCTTGGGAGAGTATTCTGCCACCTTGGCCCAGAGTGCGTTCTCTCTGACTTGGTGCCTGTTGTATGGGGAGCAGGGCCCAACGTCTCAGACCCTTCGGGGTCCTGCCCTCCGGGTTGTCTTGTTCTGGCCCACCTGCAAGCCTTTGCCTGCTCTGCCCCCCCGGGCTGGTCTAGGCCTGTCTCTTCTAGGCACCACCACTGGGGGCCCGGTCTGCACAACATTCGGCCTGCAGCCCACCAGGGGATTTCGGGCAGCCTGTGTGTGTGTGTGTGTGTGTGTGTGTGTGTGTGTGTGTGTGTGTGTGTACCTGTGCCTGTGCGCACCTGTGCCTGTGCGCGCCTGTGCCTCTGTGTGTGTGTGTGTGTGCGCGTGTGCCTGTACGTGCCTGTGCCTCTGTGTGTGTGTGCACGTGTGCCTGTGCGCACCTGTGCCTCTGTGTGTGTGTGCGCGTGTGCCTGTACGCACCTGTGCCTCTGTGTGTGTGTGCCTGTGTGTGTGTGCCTGTGCGCATCTGTGCCTCTGTGTGTGTGTGCGCGTGTACCTCTGCGCGCCTGTGCTTCTGTGTGTGTGTGCGTGTGTGCCTGTGCGCGCCTGTGCCTCTGTGTGTGTGTGTGTAGAGGATGTAAAACAGGCCTGCGTGGGAGGCTCCAGTGAGGCCACGCAGCTTGTGCTGACCGCCCTTCCCGTTCTGTGTCCGTGCTTGTTGTCGCAGGTAGATAACAAGGGCCGGAACTTTCTGCACGTGGCGGTCCAGAACTCGGACATTGAAAGTGTGCTGTTCCTCATCAGCGTCCAAGCAAATGTGAATTCCCGAGTCCAGGATGCCTCGAAGCTGACTCCCCTCCACTTGGCGGTCCAGGCGGGGTCTGAGATCATCGTCCGCAATCTGGTATGGAGTCTGCTAGGCATTTGCTGACATAGACGTGAAAGGACAAGTAGGCGCCCCTGGATGGGAAGGGAGGAGTGCCTGCCAAGGCCTCGTGGGGTGGGGTGGCCTGAGCCCCAGAAGCAGAGTGGTGAAGACCTCTTTACAACCCTGTTTGTCTTATTATGCTTATGTTACATTTGAGGAAACTGAGGCAGACAGAGGTTCGGTGACTTGCCCAGGGTCACACAGCCAGTAAGTGTTGGAGGCTGGATTTGAACTTGGGGCTTTGTGACTCCAGGACTCTGTGCTGTGGCACCCCCAAGCTGTTTTCAAGTAGGGGGAGCACCTCCACCTAAGGAGAGGGGCAGAGAGAAAAGGGCTAGGTATGCAGGGCCCCAGTGCCCAGGTCCTGAGTAGTAGGAGGATGGCAGGGCCCAGCCAGGTTCGCTCTTGCTTGGGAGCCCCTCCCTAGGTCAATGGCCCTTCTTTTGTGGTCCCTCGAGCCAGAGGCCAGAGACTCCCTGGTGTCCTCAGACCCTAGAGGCCGCTCAGAGGGAGGACGGAGCTGTTGCCTGTATTTGAACCCAGGGCGGGGGTTGATTCTTCTGTCCCCAGCTGGGAAGGTCTGGAGGCCCTGGAGCAGCTTTCAGGCTCAAGGGGCAGTGCCAGGATGCCAAACCCCTGGTCCCACTAAAGTAAGTTTGATCAGGAGGTAGGAGATTTTCACAGCTGGCCCTGAGGCACTATCAACTTGTGTCAGCTCCTCACTGGCCTGTTTCCTTTGGAAATTCCCTTAACAGTCAGAACCCTGTGGGTCAGCGTGAGCCGTCCCTCTCTCCAGGGTCCTGCCCCGCTTTTCACCCCCGGCAAGAGTTAGCCCACGTGCCAGGGGGGATTCTCATGCCTGGCTCTTGCGGCAGCTTCTTGCAGGTGCCAAGGTGAATGAATTAACCAAGCACCGCCAGACTGCCCTCCACCTGGCTGCCCAGCAAGACCTGCCCACCATCTGCTCTGTGCTCCTGGAGAACGGGGTCGACTTCTCTGCTGTGGATGAAAACGGAAATAACGGTAACGTGACTGGGGCTGGGCCTTTCAGCTGCTTGGTTAAGGTCTGGCTCCCTTCCTTGGGGAGGAGGCTCTAGGGATGGTATTTCAAGTGTGGAGGGGATGCTGTGTGGGGGAGGGGCGTGCCTTGTGGTCTGCCGGCCACTGTCCACAGCATCCAAGTGACTGAGGTTCCCCTGGTGGGATGGACAAGCTGTGTAAGGGAAACCCAGACTGGCGGTGGTCTCCTGGCCCAGGCCCTAGAGAAGAACAGCCAAGGACGGGGCAGCAGGAGGGGGCCAAGCTCCTCCTTGCCACTGGACGCCACGCTCCAGGCTCCTGAGCGACCTCTGGCCTTTCTCTGCAGCTCTCCATCTTGCGGTCATGCATGGTCGGCTGAGTACCATCCGGGCCCTCCTGACTGAGTGCAGTGTGGATGCGGAGGCCTTTAATCTGAGGTGAGTGGCATCCCTGGGGAACGGGGAGGGGGCCAGGAGCCTGTTGGCTGTGGGGCCCCCTCCTCCCACAGGCAGAGGGCTGCAGGGCTGCCCACTTGGATGGTGCAGGGTCAGGCCCTGTGGCCGTGGCCACTGTGTGTGTTTGTGATGGTGCTGGGCTGGAGAGGAAGCACGTGACTCCCATTTGTTGTCAGTCTTGATGCAGCCCACGTCCATGCTTGATTGATCTCCAGTATGTGTCAGCCATTCCTCCGCTGGACCTCTCTGCCCTGGGCCAACCCTCGCGGCCAGGCCCCAGGCATGGAACATTTCTGCCCCTTCCCTTCCTCTCATCCCAATGATCAATCACATGCCAAGTTTGTCACCTCCTCCTCCAGTATCTTTCATGCCCCTGGATAACCTGTCTCCTCCAAATCTTCCTTTACACCTCTTGCTGCATGGCCTGTAGACATCACAACAGACGCAGCGTGTCTAAAAATGAGCTCATTCTTTTCCCAAAATCCCATCTCCCCTCTCCGTAACTTACTTGTTACTCTTGAGGAAGTTGTCTTGCTGAATTTTGGTCTTGTTGCAAAGGTTTTGTTTGCCCTTCTTTTTTAGTGGTGAGGAGAGAGGAGACACAGAGGACAGGCTCTGGGCATTTTTTCTGGCTGAACCCCCTGCCTGGCATGCCCTCCCTCCTCCTCTCCAATCAAGTCCCGCCTCCTGCAAGCTCCCACTTTTGCTCTGAGGTTACCTCCGATTTACGTTAGAGTATGAGCCCCTTGAGGGCAGGAAGCGGTCCTGGCCTTGCCTGAAAACAGGCAGAGCTCCATTAGTGCTGTTGACCGTCTCTGCTCATGTGATTTCTGTACGTCTTCAATGCCCCCTCCCGCTGGGTCTGTCGTGGCAGGGCCCAGCTCTGAGGCCCCCTCCTTGGCAGAAAGTGCCTCCTCCCCCGACATCTTGGAGAAATGATCCTGGACAGCAGGGCCGGCTGGGTCGGGTCAGAGACCCGGGTCAGCCTGAGGAGCCGTGAGGCACCATCCGCTTCTCTTGTGGGATCGGCCTGGGCTCCAGGGTGCCCACGGTGAAGGCCAGCCTCGGACGCCCTCCCTTCTCCCACCCGTTAGGGGCCAGTCACCGCTACACATTCTGGGCCACTATGGCAAGGAGAACGCAGCCGCCATCTTTGAGCTCTTCCTGGAGTGCATGCCCGAGTACCCTCTGGACAAACCTGACGCCGAAGGGAACACAGGTGAGGGGCGGCCCAGAGCCCACTCCTCTCTCTCCATCTGCCCCAGGCAGAAGAAGAGCAAGTGCGGGGCGCAGACCAAGAGATACGAGGCTGTTCCAGTGCAGGGGACTGGGCAGCAGCAGCTGGAGAGGGTCTGCACACAGTGGGCGGGTGGGGCTGGCCATCCTGGAAGATGGCAGCAGGGCCCACGCTCTCCTTGGGCACTGCCCATTGTGCGCTTCTGGCTGTTTCAGTGCTGCTCTTGGCCTACATGAAGGGCAATGCCAACTTGTGCCGCGCCATTGTGCGTGCTGGGGCTCGCCTGGGCGCTCACAATAACCAGGGGATCAACATCTTCAACTACCAGGTGGCCACGAAGCAGCTCCTGTTCAGGCTCCTCGGTGAGTGGGCTGGGCCTGCCCCATCTGGCCATTCGGGCTCCCCTCCCCCAGTGCTACCCAGCTTCCCGCCCTTCCCTGGTCCCCAGCCCAGCAGCTATCCCCCAGGCAGGGTTCCCTAGGTGGGGTCCCCCGGGTGGGGCACAGTGCCCCCCAGGAGCTAGCGCTTACCAGGCGCCCTCTGGCCGTGTCCCCTCTTCAGACATGCTCTCCAAGGAACCTCCATGGTGTGATGGCTCCAACTGTTACGAGTGCATGGCCAAGTTTGGGGTCACGACGCGGAAGCATCACTGGTAAGGCTCTGCTGTCTTCCTGGGTGCCTAGCTCAGTTGGCGAGCCCTGGGCGGGGTGCTGAGCAAGAGCCAGGGTCCCTCCCTCAAGGAGTGATTGTTTGAGGAAAGGGGGGGGTGTCGAGTGCCAAGGAGGCCAGGGCCTACAGAAGGAACGATACGGTCAGAGCTGGGCTTTCGTAGGGGAGGGGCCCTGCAAGCCTGGCCTGGGAAGCAGAGACAACAGGGACATTGGGGTGGGGTGGAGGTTGTCGCTCCAGAGACCTCCCCCCTCAGAGGGACGCTGTGACTCCGTAGTCCTGGGCATCCTGGAGATTTCTGAACCAAGGAGAAGGCTAGGGACAGGCCAGTGGCTCCAAAGAGGAGCCTGAGCACTCAGGGGTTGTCTTGTCCAGGCCAGGCACAGCCCCTGCCGTGTGCTCATCTTCCCTTTGCTTAGAGACCTCCAGGGATGGGGAGCTCACCACCTGCTAAGGCAGCAGAAGGGGTGGGTATCACGAGCAGGGGCTTCCTGACATCCAGACACGGTCTACCTCAGGGGCCAACGAGGACACATCTCTTCTGGGGCAGCCCTTCATCGCGCTTCTCCAGACTCAGCCTCCCCAGCTCCCTCTTTGGTGGCCCTCCCATCTGGCGGCCCCCGGGCCGATCCACAGTCTGTCTAAACTGTGGCTGCCTTGCTCGGGACCCTCAGCCGTCCCCTTTGTATGTCCTTTCATCCGTCCTCTGGAACTCTGGGTGGGCGTTATGCTGATGAGGGCTAGTCAGCAAGCATTGATGAACTGCCAGCTAGGGGAGAGAAAAGAAGAACCGTTTACAGAGCTCCTACTAAGTGCTAAGGATACAAAGAGAGGCAAAAAATACAGCCCTCCCCTCGAGGGGCTCCTGGTCTAACGTGGGAGACGAGAGATAGGTGGAGGAAGACTGGGAAGAGGCTCTGGCACTTTAGCTGAGGCCCCCCTCCGGGGCCACTGCAATAGCAGCTGGGGCTCTGCTGCCCCACATCTCTCCCCGCTGCAGCCCATCCTTCATTCAGCTGACGCTCACCAGACTCCAGGGCCTCCCTGTCACCTCCAGGATCCAATCCCAAATGCCCGGTTTGGCTTTTGAAGCCCTTTGTGAGCTATCCCCTCCCAGCTTTCCAGTCTTCTCACTCCCGACTCCCCCTAGTCCTCTTCAGTCCGATGACATTGCCTCCGTCTCTCAGCCCGATCCTCCAGGCCTGGAATGCTTTCCCTCCTCTGCTCTCATTCCTGACCTCCCTGGCATCTTTTAGCCCTGTGCCTCCCCTTCTACAGGAAGCCGTCCCCCAGCCCCGCCTAATTCCAGAACCTTTCCTCTGTTAATTATTTCCTATTCATCCTGTGTAGAGCTTGCTTTGTATATATTTGTCCCCTTGTCTCTTCCATTTGACTGTGAGCTCTTTGAGGACGGGGACTGTCTTTTGCCTCTTTTTTGTATCCCCAGCCATTTAGCTCAGTGCCTGGCATGTAGTAGGTGCTTAATAAATGTTTATCAGCTTATTGGTTGATTGACGGATGCCAGGGAATGTGAGAGGTGAAGTTGAGGTGGGAGAGAACTCGAAGAATGGGCAAACAGCCAGTGAAAAAACCGGTATTTTGGGGTATTTAGGAACATCCAAGAGGCCAGGGTCACTGGATTAGAGCGAACTGGGGAAGTCAGGTGTAAGAAGCCTGGAAAGGCAGAAGGGAGCAGGTCATGAAGGACTTTATTTCATTTTTTTTTTCCATGAAAGACTTTAAAACCCAAATAGAAATTTTTATGTTTGCTCTAGGCATAGGGAGCCATTGCAGTTTGTGGAGTGTGTGTTTATTGGGGGAGTGGGGAAGATCAGACCTGTCTTTTAGGAAAATCACTTTGACAGCTGAGTGTGGGATGGACTGGAGTGGAGAGGGGTTAGCAGCTATTGTGGAAGTCCAGGTGTGAGGTAAGGGGGGCCTACACCAGAGTGGAGGCAGGGTGAGGGGAAATGCTGCAGAAGTGCAATAGACAAGAGGTGCTGCACAGGTGAAATAGACAAGAGGTGCTGCACAGGTGAAATGGACAAGAGGTGCTGCACAGGTGAAATGGACAAGAGATGGTGCAAGGGAGCAAAATTGAGAGATGTGGGGGGAAGGGTGTGTGTGAAATAGACAAAAGATGTTGCAAAAGTGAAATAGACAAGAGGTACTGCAAGGAGGTGAAATCAACAAGAGATGCTGCCCAGGTGAAATGATAGGCCTTGACCAACTGATTGGCTAGCAGGGTGAAAGAGTGAGGGGACCAGGAGGATCCTTGGGTTGTAAGCCTGGATGACTAGGAGGATGGTATCCTTGACAGTATTAGGAAAGTTTGGAAAGGGGTAGGGTTTAGGCCAGGGGAAAAGATAATGGATTCATTTTTGGGTCTGTTGAGTTTAAGATGTCTATAGAGCATCCAGTTCAAGATGTCTAATAGGCAATTGGAGATGCGAGTCTGAAAGTTAGGAGAGAGGTTGGGACTGGATAAGTAGATCAAGAATCATTAGCATAAAAATGATTATTAAATCCATGGGAGTTAATGAAATCGTCAAGTGAAATAGTGTAGAGGGAGAAGAGAAGAGGGCCCACAGCAACCTTGGGGGATGCCCAAGGTTAGGGAGCATGATCTGGATGAAGATCCAGCAGAGGGACTGAGAAGGAAGTCAGGTAGAGGGAGAAGCAGGAGAGAGGGGGTGTCCCCCGAACCCAGAGAGAAGAGGGTGATCAACAGCGCCAGAGGCTACAGGGAGTTTGATTAGGATGAGATTAAGGATTAGGAGTAGGACTGAGAAATGGCCCTTGAATTTTGGAAACTTTGGAGAGAGAATTTTGAATGACGAGTTAGGAAGATGAAAGGCAACAGAGACACATTTTGGAGACAGTCTTCTCAAGGATTTTGGTCACAGAAGGGAAGAAAGATGGAGGGTGATAGCTGGTGGAGAGAGATGGGTCAGGTGAGGCTTTTTTGAGGATGGGGGAGGAGCTAATAGGCAGGGAGAGGTGCTGGACAGTGTCCGAGGCTGCGGAGAGGTCAAGAAGGATGAGGCTGTTAGACTGGACAAGTAAGAGATTGCTGAGAACTTGGGAGCTGGATGGTTCTTAAGCCTTTCAAAGTGGTGTGTTGTTACCATGTAGGTTATTCTGGTCCTGCTCACTTCACTCTGCATCAGCTCCTCTCAGTCTTACTAGTATCTCTGAAGTCCCAGTTGGCGTTTCTCCAGCACATTCATATGCCTTCGTTTATTTGGCCACTCCCCAATCGATGAGCTCCGCCTTAGCTGCTTTTCTTGGATCTCTCTGGAGTGTAAGCCTAGCAGTGGTGTGAAGAGGTCAAAGGGCGGGCAGTTTAGTGACTTTGGGGCCATAGTTCCTAACTGCTCTCCAAGGTGACTACAGCAACGTGCAGCTCCACTCACAGTGCGCTAATGTGCCTGCTTCCCCACAACCCCTCCAAAACTGCCATTTTACTTTCTAAAGCTTTGCCAGTCTGGTGGGTTTGAGGTGAGACCTCATAGTGGCTTTCATTTGCATTTATCTTATTATTAGTTATTTGGAACATTTTTTTCATGTGACTCCCATTAATTTGGATTTCTTCCTTGGAAAATTGCCTGGTCATGTCCTTCAATCAGTTTTCAATTGGGGAATGAGTCTTATTTTCACAAATTTGAATCAGTTCCTTACATATCTTGGGTATCAGACCTTTTTCAGAGAAATTTTTTGCAGGTTTTTTTTCCCCATTTACTTGCTTCCTTTCGAATGTTAGCTATGTTGGTTTTGTTTGTGCAAAACCTTTTTAATTTTATCTAATCAAAATTACCTGTCTTATTTTATGTGCTCCTCTCAGTCCCTTGTTTGGTGTCCATAGACTGGAAAGGCCATTTCTTTGTTGCTCGCTCACTGTGAGCCTCTTCTAACACAGATCAGGGTGGCATGCTATGTCCCCTCGTCAACTCCAGTCATAACTTGGCCCACCAAGACCCTCGGGTCTATCTGTTATCTAGCCAGAGAGCTGCCTGTCATGAACTTGGGAGTGGTGGTGATTTTATTTACTTAAACCCCGGTGAAAGATCTTACGTTTCCCTCTTTAAGTTTAATTTTACTGAGTTCAGCCCAAGGACTTTACCTGCTGAGAGCTAGTTAAATGCTGATTTTGTTTTTATGTAAGCCACAAACGTCCATACTTTGATCCAAGTCATTGGTGACTAAAGATGTCTCAGCCCAGGGTCCAGGACCCCTCAAGTATATGAGACGCTCATTCCTCTCTCTCCTTGACCACAAGTGGCCAAAGGCCTCACTGTAACCTGTGTATTTGTAATGTTGTCTGTCTGTAACACCCCCTCATCTGCTCAGCAGGAGGCCTGCTTTCCTTTCAAGAGAACGGGGAGTCCATGCTTTTTAGGGGTGGCCAGGCCTGAGAGATAGGTGGAGCAGACGAGAAAGCTGAGACTGTAGGATACTTGGCCGTGACTGCCCCAGGGAGCTTTGGAACCCGGGACTTGGGGCTTTCACAAGCCAGCCCTCAAATGACTGGGGTTCTGGGGTGGTTGCAGACTCCTTGCCTCCCCTTCTGTGGAGCTTTGCAAAGATTCCCGAGAATGGCTCTGCCTCAGTAGCGAGGGAGGCTCACCACGCCTGCCGACTTTGCTGCGACGCAGTCCGATGATGAATGAGCAGGGGAGGTCTCACCTCTCTGCCTCCTCTGTACGTCACGGTGTCATCTCCAGTGCGGGTCAGGCTTCCAGCCTTCTCAAAGGGCAGGCTAATGAGCCCCGTCGGGACTTCTGGTCCAGGAGAGGAGATCTGTTGGGTGTTTCTGGGCCTGGCCAGGTCGCGGCACTCCCTTCTGGGACCGTGTGTGCGCTGGGCCCCCTCTCACGCCTCCTCCCCCTGTCTTTGCTCCCACAGCCGGCACTGCGGACGCCTCCTTTGCCACAAATGCTCCACCAAGGAGATCCCCATCATCAAGTTTGATCTGAACAAACCCGTCAGAGTCTGCAACATTTGCTTCGATGTTCTGACCCTGGGGGGAGTCTCCTAGGGAGCCGGGGGCTGCCCTGGCTCCGTTCTCCTCGGCCCCAGCAGCCACCCAGCTCGCCAGCCCCGCAGCCAGGGAGAGGGAAGGTGGTGGCGACAGCCTTTGTCTCCCTCCTGCAACAGACTGAAACCAATTAAGGACCCCCTAGTGATTTACTCCATTACCAATGATTTCTGTGATTGGACCGGACCACTGGAAATGAGGTGGTGAGTGTGGCTGCGCCAGGCCCCCCCGGGAGAGCCTGGTGTTGAGGCCCGCAGCTGGGGAGGGGACACGCCTGCTCGGCTGAGCTAGCTGCTGCCGTGTTGGGCTTTTGAGGCTTCTTCCCACTGGGAAGCCTGCGCATGGGCACTTTGTAAACAGGGTTCAGAAGGATTACCAGGAAACAGTGGCCTTAACCACAGAAAGCTTGACCGGGGGCGTCCCTGCTCTCCCACGGGCTGCCCAGGCCGCCGTGTTGAGGTGCAGGGCTGCTCCCCCGGAGGTGCCCCTGCCCCAAGGGCAGCCTGCACACCTCAGGGACACCGAGCGGGAGCCGTGCACTTGTGCCGGTGACGCTGGGGGGCTAGCTCTGTATCCCAGCCACACAGAGAACCTGGAACGCACAACGCCCCCATCTGTGCTCAGAAGAAAAGTGTGCGTGTTTAACCCACATGGGGAAGTTCATTTGGAACACAGGCTTCATTTATGCGGCTCGAATGTCCAGGAAAAGACAGGCCTGGGCCTTACTGGGAGGTCCTGTCCTCGCCTGGGCCTTCCTCAGTCGAGAGAGGGGCTGCCCCCTTTCCTGGGCCTCACCTCACCTCACCTCACCAGTGCAGTCCTGAAGGCCAAAGGAGGTTTGTGGTGACCCCGGCTGACAAGGAACAGTGAGGAGAGGAGGGTTAGAGGGCGTCACACCTCCATCACGGCAAAGGAAGGCTCACCTCTCCTCGGCCTCGTTAGCCTCTCTGCCGAGCGCGGTCCCTCCACAGTCGCCCTTCGCAGGCTGGGTGGCCCCCCAGGATGCTTCCGGAGCCATGGCACGTGTGCAGCCTGTAGACAGATGCGCACATGCATGCACACACACATGTACGCACATCTATACATATTTATACAGTATGTAGAATGGAGTCAGAAATAAGTGGTACTATTTTCTGTTTCTGTGATCTGGAAAGTATGTACATATCACACACATGCGTTATGTTTGAAGCGAGAATTTGGATGTGTCTGCTGTGTTTAAAAGACAAAAGTTCATTTAGGGGCCATGCTTACTCAGTGCCGTCACATTCTGTGTGGAATTTGCTGGAAAGAACCTCGCCCCCTTTGATGAGGAGCCAGGAATGCCTGTGTGCCACCTACATGCGTGCATGCACACACACGCATCCACATACACGTGCACACACGTGCACACGCATACATGCACATACAATGTGCACACACGTGTGCACACGCACACACGCACCCCTTTGCAGCCACTGGCTAGCTTCCACATTGGAGGACCTTTGCTCTTTGGGGCATCACAAGAAACCATTTGCTAGAGCTTAATTAGGTGAGATTTAATTCTTTTATCCAAATAACTCTAATTATGTTACAGGAGGGGCTTGGCCTTCTCTTCTGCTTCTCTTATCGCTTCCTACGTCGTTGTTCACACTTAAGTCTGAATCACGTGTTGAAATGTTCCAGGAACACACCCAACATGTTTGTGGGGTCCCTGTATCGAGTCAGGGTCAGTTTCTACCGGGTGGACTCGAGGACCCCTCCCCCACAGCTCATGTTCTGTGCTCGGGCCTCTTGGGGTGGCATTCCTCTCCGCGCAGCCCCTCCCAGATGGCGCCAGCCTGCCCTCGTGCCAGTCCCGCCGACACGCTCGTGGGTGTCTGCGGTCGGGGGCTGCACAGCTTCCGGGCTGTTCTAAGAAGTGCATCAGACCCGCTCGGGCAGTATCTGCAGGGAGCTGTGGGGCACTCAGATCCTCCTCAGATTCTCCCGTTGGGAAGTCCAGAGTCCTGGAGCAAGGGAAGAGTGAGCCGGGCCCAGCCCCAGTCACTGCGGGCCACCTGCGAGCCAGGCATATTGCAGCCTGTTGGGGGGGACCCCAAGCTGACCCTGCCTCAAGATCAGTGTCCCCGAGGTGGGGATCCGTGTGTGTATGGGACACAGGAGCGGTTTTTCACCCAGACACTCCTTTCTCCCCAGGATTCGGACCCATATGGTCGTGACTTCAGTCCCCCACCCCGAAGCTTGAGTCATGGAATGGCAGTCTACCCTTTTCACGTGCGTTCTGTCCCAAGCACAGCCCCCTCCTGGTTCACTCACAGCGTCACCAGGGGCAGATCCAGCCTCTGGCTACTGGCTCCTTGTCCGTGAGCTGGCCACAAGTCCAGTGTCAACCCCGAAATTGGCTCCCTCGGCCTGAATGGCAGTTAGTAATAAGGACAGCAGACAGTCTCAGCAGAAAGGCCTGGGAGTGAGGGGGTCCCAGAAGGCAGGCGTCTGCAGGGCTTGGCTAAGACCCTCGGTCCCTCCAAAGCACAAAACACCTAGAGGAGAGGAAGGCGGGGGCTGACTCCCAAGGCCTCATTTTCCTTTTCTTGTGTGGAGTGGGACAGAGCCGTCCCAGAAATGGACTGACCAGGTCCTGCTGTTCCCAGAGCTCACTGACCATTACCATTCTAAATGCCTTAAAGACTGCAGATTCATGCCTCTACGGTTTCATTTCCATGTGCATAAATGGTACCTCAGCCTGATGCTTTGTAGCTGATGCTGGCCGGCTCTCAGTGGGAAAGCCCCGGGCAATGCTGTGTGTCCCTCTGGGTCTGGGGTCTGGGGTCATGGGGTCCTAGGGTGGGAGTGCTGTGCAGAAGAGATTCTGAGGACCACCAGGAGGCGGGCACGTGCGGCCAAGGTCACCTTGGAGTCTGGAATAGAATGTATTTTTCCATTAATTTGCATTAATGATTCCTTGTAATAATACTAGAATGCATCAACCATGTACATTAAAATGAAAACCTTTGGTAACTCCATGTGTGTGTTTGCGCGCGCGCAGCGATGTCAGGAATGCCCTGAGAGAGCCCACAGGGCATCTGGGCGTATCGTGCCCTGGGCCCAGGAGAGCATGAGCCGGCTGCCCATGCCAGCCCAGCGCACACCAGGCTGTTCCCAGGGGGTCCCTTTGGTCTCCTCTGTCCCATGGAGCCCGGGGTGGCTGGTGAAACACTTGCCTGGACATTTCTTTGCAAAGCCGGCTGTGGGTATCAGGAGCCCACGTTTCCATCCTTGGCTCTGGGCGCTCCTTCTAACTCCTCAGCCCCCTCTTGGCCTCACAAACGAGGCTATATCGAGACCAGCTTCAGGAGGCGTGAGGAGCGTGGCCCTATGTCCGCTGGACCGCCTCGCGGCTTCGAGCCAGCCGGGCCCTGGGGCCCCGGGGGGTCCTCCAAGCTGGCAGGTGACCCTTGACGCTGGGGTCGCAGCCGGGTCTCGGCTCCCTCAGACGGGCGTCTGGGCTGTTTCCCTTCGTAGCATGGCGCCCCTGGTTTGGAATCGTGTTGTCGTCCAATCACGTCCAAGTCTTTGTGACCCCGTTGGGGTTTTCTTGGCAGAGATACTGGAGCGGTTTGCCACTGCCTTCTCCTGCTCGTTTGGCAGATGAAGAAACTGAGGCAAAAAGTGATGTGACCTGCTGAGGGTCACACAGCTAGGAAGTGTTTGAGGCCGGATTTGACCTCAGGAGGCCTGTCTCCAGGCCTGGTTTTCTATCTAACCCTAACTGTGCGTGCCACCTAGCTGCCCTGTGTTTGGAATTATACCTTATGGTCATTTGGATGGGGGCTTAATATGATTAAGGAGACCTCGGTATTATCTATGAAAAGCAGAACTTGCATAGAAATGGGAAGGGAAAGCATTTGCTTAGTTGAAAACAATTGCTAAGTGTTTGAAGGAATCCACTTAACCTTGGATATTTGAGAAGTGCGAGTTCTCGCCCATTCAGATAGGCGTTCCCCCTAAAATGCCTATGTGCGTTTTATTTGCGTTTCATTATTTCATGAACCCTATTTCAGAGAAGCCAAGGATATTTCGAGTTCTAAAGGCAGGCCGGGGCAGGGAAGGGGCAGAGTCTGATGATCATCCTTCATGGAATGAGGGCATCATCAGTGCTTTAGGAAACCAAGACCCCCACAGCAGGGGGTTCCTGGCCCTCGGATTGAGCACTCACTGTTTGGAGTACGCCTTCCGTCCCGGGCTGAGCATGTCTCCTGCCCGATCTCCAGCCTCTTCTGGGAACAAAAGTGGCACCTTCCACTCCAGGACGAACACGCACGCCTCCCTGGACGTAGCCCACACATCCTGGTGACTCTGAACAACTCCAGGTCGTTGTCCAGATCCCACCCCCACCTCTTATTCCCTTCCCTGCCATCTTTGTGCCCCAAAGTCCCAACCCAATGCCCTTCACCCCTTCCAAGGTGCCCTATGGAACTCCTCTTCCATAAGCAACAAACTTTCCTTCATCTTAAATCTTTTCCTCTCTCGCTCCTTCCATCTTCTGACAATCACCAAGACCTGCCCCTCTGACCAGCCTCTCAGTCTGTCTGTCCAGGACTGGCTTCCCCTTCGTTCACTCTCCTCAGCTCCCTGGTTCTCTCTCTTCACAGCCGGTATTCAGTCAAAATCCTGGTAGCTGTGGGGTCAGACCCCACAGATCACCCTCCTTCCTTCCTGAGTGAGTGTGGTCTCCTCAATGCTCACATCTACCTATTCTGTCCTGACTTCTCTGCTGACCTGCTGTCTTGGCCCTCCAGCTGCCTAGTAAACATGTCAAAATGGATGTGCTCATCTGTCCCCTTAAGCCTCTCTTCCAAATGTCCCTGTAACTGTTGAGGGCACCACCGTCCTCCCAGGACCCCAGGCTCACAACCTAGGTGTCCTCTAATCCAATCAGTTGTCCACTCCTGATGATTTTTACCTTCATGTTCTCTCATGTGCCCCCTCCACAATGTAGCCCCTGCCAAGCTTTCTGAAAAAATCCACCAGTCACTTCCTGAAAGAGATCCCAAAATGAAAACTCCCAGGCATATTATAGCCAAATTCCAGAGCTCTCAGGACAAGAGAAAAATATTGCAGCCAGAAAGAAACAATTCAAGTATGGTGGAGTCACAGTCAGGATAACACAAGATTTAGCAGCTTCTACATTAAAGGATTGGAGGGCTTGGAATGTGATATTCCAGAGGTCAAAGGAGCTAGAATTAAAATCAAGAATCACCTACCCAGCAAAACTAAGTGTAATCAATGGGGGTGAGGTGGGAGAAGGACATTCAGGAGATAGAGGATTTTCAAGCATTCCATGTGAAAAGACCAGAGATGAATAGAAATTTTGACTTTCAAATACAAGACTCAAGAAAAGCATAAAAAAGTAAATAGAAAAGGGAAATCATAAGGGACTTAATAAGGTTAAACTGTGTATATTCCTACATGGGATGATGATACTTGTAACATAAGAACTTCCTCACTATTAGGGCAGTTAGAAGGAGAATATATAAACAGAGGGCAGAGGTATGAGTTGAATATGAAGGGATGATATCTAAAAAAATAAAAAGGGGTGAGAAGAATACTGAGAGAAAGAAAAAAGGAGAGGTAGAATGGGATAAGCTATCACATAAAAGGCAAGAAAAAGCTTTTACAGTAGAGGGGAAGAGGGGGGAGGTAAGGGGGAGTGAGTGAACGTTACTGTCATTAAAATTGGCTCAAAGAGGGAAAAACATACACACTCAATTGGGTATAAAAACCTATCTTACCCTACAAGAAAGAAGAGGAAGGGGATAAGAGAAAGCACAAGGGGGTGATAGAGCAGATTGGGGGAGGGAGTAGTCAGAAGCAAAACACTTTCGAGGAAGAACAGGGTGAAAAGAGAGAATAAAATAAATGGGGATGGCGGATAGGATGGAGGGAAATAGTTACCAATAGTAACTAAAAAAAAAAATTTAAGCGAGTTTCTCTGATAAAGGCCTCATTTTCTCAAACATAGAGCACTGAGTCAAATTTATAAAAATAAGAGCCATTCCCCAATTAATAAATGATCAAAAGATACTTCAGATGAAGTAATCAAAGCTATCTATAGCCTTGTGAAGAAGTACTCACTATTTTTTAATTTTTTTATTGGCAATTGGGTTAAGTGACTTGCCCAGGGTCACACAGCTAGTAAGTGTCAAGTGTTTGGTCTGAGTTCAGATTTGAACTCAGGTCCTCCTGACTTCAGGGCCGGTGGTTTATCCACTGCGCCACCTAGCTGCCCCAAAAGTACTCACTATTGATTGGAGAAATGCAAATTAAAGCAGTTCTAAGGTACCTCATAACTATTGGATTGGCTAATAGGACAGAAAAGGTAAGTGACGAACGGTGAAGGGGATGTGGGAAAATTGAGAGAGTAGTGCACTGTTGGTGGAGTTGTGAACTGATTCAACCATTCTATTGAGCAATTTGGAACTATGCTCAAAGGACTATAAAACCATGCATACCCTTTGACCTAGCAATACCACTACTAGGTCAGTATCCCAAAAGAGATAAAAAAACCAAAAAGGACCTATATGTGCAAAAATATTTATAGCAGCTCTTTTCTCGGGGTAAAGAATTAGAAATTAAGGGGATGCCCATCAATTGGGGAATGGCTGAACAAGTTATAATATGTGATTGTGATGGAATACTGTTGTGCTATAAGAAATGATGAGCAGGATGCTCTCAGAAAAAACCTGGAAAGGCTTAAATGAGCTGATGCAAAGTGACACATACTGTGTACAAAGTTACAGCAGTATTGTGCGATGATCTGCTATGAATGACTTAGCTGTTCTCAGCAATACAACAGTCCTAGACAGCTTTGAAGGACTTAGGATGAAAAATGCTACATGTCCCCAGACAAAGACCTGACAGTGTCTCAATGCAGATTGAAGCAGACTGTTTTTTTTTTTTACTTTCTTTATTCTTTGAGTTTTTTTAAAATTTTTTTCTTTTCTATATTTTCTTTCACAACATGACTATTATGGAAATGTTTTGTGTGACTACACATGTATAACCTATATCAAATTGCTTGCCTTCTCAATATTGGGGGGAGGGGGGAGGGAGGAAGGGAGAGAGTTTGGAACTCGAAGTTTTAAAAGGGAATGTTGAGAATTTTTTCATGTAACTGGGGGAAAACGAAATAATAAATTAATTTTTAAAAAAAGAACCTGATATTTCCCTATCTGAGCATACTGTTCCATCACTCCATCTCTCCTCTACACCTATTCTTTCCAGCACATCCTTCCTTCACCCTGCTCCAGTCTCAACCCTCAAGGCTCTGGCCTCTGACCTCATCATTCCACTGAGACTGCCCTCTCCAAAATCACCGATGATCTCTTAATCACCAACTCCAATGGTCTTTTCTCCAACCTCATTCTTCCTGACCTCTCTGCGGCCATGGACGATGTTTTGGTCACTCTCGCCTCCTTGATACCCTCTTCTCTCTGGGTTTTCAGGACACCCACCTCTCTTTCCTGGTTCTACTCCTCCCTCCGACTCCTTTGCAGTATCCTCCACATCACGCCCTCCCACCATGGGTGTCCCTCAGGCTTTGTCCTGGATCCTCTGCTCCTCTCCTTCTATCCTGCTCTACTGGGCGATCTCTTCAGCTGCCATGGATTTAATGACTCTGTCTGCTGATGATTCTCAGATCCACCCATCCTGCACCAATCTGCTGACTTCTAACTTCACATCTCTGACTGCCTGTCAGACTGGAAGCCCCATAGACATCTTAGACTCAACATGTCCAGAACAGCTCATTCTCCTTCCCCCTGCCCCCTTCCCTATTACTGTCCAGGGCACCCCTCCCCCCCAGGCTCCCAGCCCAGGAGTGATATCCTTTCCCACAGCTAAGCTGGGACCAAGGCCTGTCCAGTCCACCTCGGCAGCTTCTCTTACAGCACACACAGTGCCTGGCACATGGAGAGCCTTAGCAAATGTGTGTTTACTGATTATCATTGACTGTGCCAAGTGCCAAGTGCTCCCAGTCTAATGGAGGCATAACATGCCAGCAGCTCTGTACAAACAAGACACGGACAGGGTCAGCTGATCCCCCACTTCCCTCAGGCTTCTCTTCCCTGGGAGCACTCGACTCCTCCCAACCTTTCCTTTCTGTAGGGCTGGGCCCTGGGCTTTGTGGCTCACCCTCCATTCTTCATCTGTAGCTGTGCTTGGCTTGGACACAACATGCTGTGTCCCCTGATCCCCCAGCACACCCTGCTTCCCGGCTTCCTTTTGTGCTGTCTTCCCCCAAAAGACTGTAAGAGACTGCCTTTCTCTTAAAATAATATTTTATTTTCCCCCAATTACATGTTAAAACAATTTTAAAACAATCTTTTTTTTTAAAGTTTTGAGTTCTAAATTCTATGCCAATCTCACTCCCTGCCTTCTCTCCTCACTGAGACGGTAAGCAATCTGATACAGGTTATACGAGTGCAATCATTAAAACATTTCCAAATTAGACACTTTTTTTTTTACAACAAGATATAAATAAAAACCATGAAAGAAACAAAGTGAAAAATCGTATGTTTCAGTCTATTCCGACAACATCAGGTCTTTCTCTGGTGTTGGGTAGCACGTTTCATTGCATTGCTGAGAAGATTTGAGTCATTCACAGTTGATCATTGTTACAATGTTGCTGTTACTGTGTACAATGTTCTCCTGCTCCTGCGCATTTCACTTTGAATCAGTTCATGTGAGTCTTCCCAGGTTTTTCTGGAATCATCCTCAACAATATTCCATTATAATCATATACCACAGCTTGTTTAGCCATTCCCCAATTGATGGGCATCCCTTAGCCAACACAAAAAGAGCTGCTATAAATATTTTTTGTACAAATAGATCCTTTTCATTTTTGTTTTTTATCTCTTTGGGATACAGACCTGGTAGTGGCATTGCTGGGTCAAAGGATGTACACAGTTTTCTAGCCCATTGGGCATAGTTCCAAATTGCTCTCCAGAATGGTAAGATCAGTTCACAACTCCACCAACAGTGCATTAGTATTTCAATTTTCCCACACTCCCCCCCCCTTTTCTTTCTCTTAAAGCATGCATGACACATTGTAGGTAGACAGTTAATAAATATTTATTGAAATGAATGGAATCAACTTAGAAACTCTCACTTCCTCAGCACACCCTACCTCTGGGGCCCCTTCCAGTCCTCTACCATTTAAGTATGGGTCTCCCAGGGAATTCTCACCATCTCCTACCAGCCACTTTCCTGGACTGCATCACCTCCATAAACTCCTCATTCCACAAGATAACGTTAACTCAGAAACTCTCATCTCCTCAGATCCTTTCCCACCCCAAAGGCAGACTTCATCTCCCTAGCCTCTCAGCTTCCTTTGATGTGTCATCTTCCCCTCTAGACTGTGAGCTCTTTGAGGCCAGGGCCCATCTCGTGCTTTTTCTTTGTATCTCTAGCAACCAGCATAGTACCTGGCACATAGTAGACACCTGCTTCATCACCCCACCTTGACCTTGCCATCGGCTGTAAATGTTCATGAAATTTCTTTATCTGACCATCTTATTAATTCCTTTATCTGATCACCTTTCCTTCTGCCTTCTTCATTCCCACCGTGAGTGAGTGACCATCAATCTCTCCACCCCACCGGATCTTTCCCAGGTTATTGTTTCCTGCATGGGCTACACAGTCCCCCTTTCCCTCCGTGGTGAACCAGCTCTAGTCTGCACAGCCTTCTACACTGGAGCCCCTCATCCTGTCTCTGATCATGCCCTGCCCACCCCCAGCCTTGGCCCTCCACTGCTTTCACTCTGGCTGGTCTGGTTTCCTACCACATCACTCCATGGCCTCTGCTCTCCAAAGTGATCAGTGATCTCTCATCACCAGATCCAGTGGCCTCCTGGACACTGTTGGTCACTCTTTCATCCTTGATTCTCTGGAGAATACCCTTCTCTTTCCTCTCGTCCCCACTCCTCCGTCTCCTTGGCTGGACCCAACTCCAGGCTGGGAGGCCTGAACATGTGGCTGCCCTGGGCCCTCTCCTCTTTCCCCTCTATGGCAGCTTCACTGGTGATTTCATCAACTCCCACCACTTCAGTTAGCGTCTATTCTCAGACCTATAAATCTAGCCCTAACGGTGTCCATTCCTGAGGGAAAGCTCTGTCTCATGACTGGCCTAAGGGGTGAGGTCCTTTCTTGGGGTACAGTGTGGGCAAGGTCTGGTCCTGGGTCAGAGGCCAGCAGAACCATTTGTCTTCTTCAAAACCTATTTCCAAGTTTTTGGCCATCTTCTCTGTGAGGCCGGCTCTCCTCACTGGGAACTGCCTCTCAGGAAAGTCCTAGCCATGCTTCATCTTCCTCCTCCCACCTCTGTAACCAAGATCAAATCAACTCTATCAGTGTTCATGGATGGGGCGTGTCAATGCACTCCCCTACAATCCCTGCCATCCTCCCAGTAACCTCTCTGTGTTGTGTCCTCTATTACAACATAAGCTACTTGAGGGCATGGTCCATCTTTGCTTCTTTGTTTTTTATGATCACAAAGGCTTTAACAAAGTATTTATTTTAAAAAATATTTTATCTTTTCCAATTACATGTAAAAGTTTATAGCGTTTTGTTTTTTTTTAGGCCATTGGGGTTAAGTGACTTGCCTAGGGTCACACTGCTAGTAAGTGTCAAGTGTTTGGTCTGAGGCTGGATTTGAACTCAGGTCCTCCTGACTTCAGGGCCAGTGCTCTATTCTCTGCGCCACCTAGCTGCCCCTTTAGCATTCTTCTTAAAGGAAGTTAAAAGTATGCTTCCGTCTACATTCCGTCTTTGCTTGCACACACTGGGCATCTAATAAATGTGGTCTGATTCATTCATTCCCAAGGTTGGCCCCACTGCTGAAAACGGAGGTAAAGGAGAACTGCACAGCAGGGCGTGGCCCCTGGGCTCCTTTGTCCACACTGCAGGCTACCCTCCCCAAGATGGCTCTTCTCAAGCCTCTGACTGGACTCACTGAGCTCTAAGCGATCTTTTGGTCAATCAGTCTATTGAGTCCCTCCTCAGTGCCCAGCACCGTGCTAAGCTCTAAGGCTTTCACTGCTAAAGCTATGGCTCTATGACCCAGGACCCCAAGAAACTGCCCAGGGCCCAGGAAAAGGGGCTCCTGGTCGCTTTGAATTCACAGACCTTGGCCTTGTTCCTGCTCAGACCTGAGCTCTGGAGCTGGGCACCTGAGAGCCCCCACAGACCCCCAACGCCTGGCAGCGCTGGCAGGGCTGAGGTGGGGAGGGGGCGGCGGCCTGGGCCCCCCTCCCCAAGCGTCTGCCATCATCCCCACTCCCAAGTTATTCCTTGTGGGCCAGATAGGCCTCAGACGCCTGCCTGCCCTGCCCTTCTCCAGAAACCCCTTTATCCCGAACAGTCACTTCACACCTTGGGGTACCCTCCTTCCTACTGGACAGCTCCACCCAAAAGCTCAGTGGAAGGAGGCTGCATCTGCCAGCTATGTCTTTGTTCCCTACCTGGATGCTCTCTGGGCTTCTCCACGGTCTCCCCAGGATCCTCTTTAGTTTTGTAAGCTCCCTGGGGGCAGGGACTTTCTTTTCTCCCTCCTTTTCTTCCTCCCTCCCTCCCCTCCTTCCCTCCCCCCTCTCCCCTTCTCTCCCTCCCTCCCCTCCTTCCCTCCCAGAGCTCAGGGACCCCTTCCTCTGGGTGGGGCTCCCTGACAAGGCCCCAAGGCCTTAGTCTTGCAGGATGCAGCTGTTGGCCAGTGGTGGGCAGCCTGTGTACTCCTGCAGGCTCGGGTTGTCCAGGTCTCCGCGGTCGCCATGGCCGGTGGAGCCTGTCTGGCCGGTGGGGGGGCCTGTGGTTCTCACACACACACATCGTGGCTTCTTACCGCCGGGCTGATACAGCTTCCTGGGGACCCCTGTCCAGTCCCTGCTCACGCCTCCACTGAGAATAAAAGAGCGGATGGTCAGGGGGACATGGGGCTTGGTCTCCTGCATCCAAGGGTCAGTGAGGAAAAAAAAAAAACCTCTCCCAAAAAGTGGGCAGGGAGGGGGAGATAGGCATGTGGCTCTGGAATGATGGTCCACTGACCTTTTCAATGTTTTATTAAAAAATTCACATTGAATGTCCAAAGGGTATGTGGAATGGGGGGGAGGGGAGTCCAAGGCCCTGGGTTCAAATCCCAGTCCTGCCACTTACTACCTGTGGAGACTTAGGCAAGTCATCTCCCCTTTTTGGGCCGGGCCAGAGTCAACAGCCTCAAAGGCTGAATGTGCGAGCCTGAGAGCTGAGAAGGGCATGGAGGACGAGGAAGCCCAGGCAGAGTGTGGGTGAGCACTGATGGCTGGGGGTGCAATGAGAGGAGAGAGGGAGGAAGGGAGGGAGAGGCAGAGAGAGAGACAGGGCAGAGACAGACACAGAAAGGGGGAGACAGAGAGACACAGAAAGATACACACGGAGAGAGACAGAGGCAGACAGGAGACAGAGACAGAGACGGGGGAGAAGGAGAGAGAGAGAGATGGGGGGTGGGGAGAGAACCCAGTGGGCTGGTCAGCAGGGTCCACTGCTGTAAAGAGGTCCCGAAAGATGAGGACTGAGAAAAGGTCCTCAGACTGGGTAGCGAAGCTGTAATTAGTAATTTCGGAGGGAGCGATGAGGTCTGGAGCCAGCTTGTAAGAAACGCTGAGGGGCGCAGAGGAAGTGCAGCTGGTGTGTGGGAGCAGTGAGTGTAGACAGCTTTCTCTAGAGGGCTGGAGACACAGAGGGAGCCAGCCTGAGAGGGCAGATCCTCGGGCACATCGAAAAGGACCAGTGGAGGAGAGGTGGCAGAGCCAGAGCACGATGGAGGAGGTTGGCTCCCTGGAGAAGACGGGGACGGGGGGCATCCAGGGCCCTTGTTAGCAGATGAAGGCACACCAGCGCAAGCGGAAAGCAGGGAGCTCTCACGTGCCGCCCCTTCCTCACAAAGTACAGCTGGGGGTGGGCCTGGGGTCGGGGGGGAGACATGGGGTTCTGCAGGGAGGGAGGCGTGAATCTAGAACATGTCCAGTCTTGTGCCCAATACATCTGATAAGGATTTGGTATCCAAGATTTATAAATAGCAAGTAGAAATGGTAAGACCAAAAGCTATTCCCCAACAGCCAAGGGGTCAAAGAATTCTCCAAATTAGTATCAGCCACGGGAATGAACGCTCCCAATCACTAAATTTAACCATTTACTACCCCTGGGACTTGAGGCAAGTCACCTCACCTGCTCGGGCCTCAGTTTCCTCCTCTGTCAAATGTTCGAGGATGCCAGCCTAATAGGTACAAAGGAGGTGTCACAGTGCAGAGCACCAAGCCCAGAGTCAGGAAGTCCTGGGTTCAAATCCAGCCTCAGACACTTACTAGCTGTGTGATCCTGGGCAAGCCACTTCACCTAATGTCTCAGTTTCCTCATCTGTCAAATGGGGACAACCTCACCTACTTTGTTGTGAGAACCTTAGGAGATAATAATTGTAAAGCACTTAGCACAGTTCCCAGCACACAATAAGCACTATATAAATGCTAGCTATTATTGTAATTATTAACAATTGGAGGAAGGGAATAAGCATTTATTAAGCACCTACTCTATGCCAGGCACTGCACACATACATGCTCTCAACAATAGCCCTGTAGGGGTAGAAAGAGTAGGTCAGGAAACTGGGGCTCAGGTGAACGAGGACCCATGTAAGAGGCAAGGCTGAAGTGCCTCCAACGGACCCCGGCAACCTTCTTAGAGGTGTCCAGCCCCAGCCAGCCCCGAGTAAGGGGCAAGCAGATGCTCCGGGTCCCCCCCAGGCTTTCTGCCCATTTACCTCTGCTGGGAGCACCAGAACCGGCCCGGGCTGCCTGAACTCCACTCCGAGTTACACGCGGGGAACTGCTGCCTCTGTTGGTTTTCTGTCGCCCTGGCCGAGACTCCCTGGGCCACCGTGGCCTCGGCCAGGAGCAGCGCAGGAGTGGGGTCTCCATTCTCCTCGTAGAACCTCCCAATCAGCTTTCCTGGGGGCAACGGGGCAACGTGAGTGCAGCAGGGGCTGGGGCTGACCGGCCGCCACCTGCAGAGCTTTGAGCTGGAAGCCACAGTTCCTCCCTGCCCCAGCCTCCCTCTGCCACCTCTGCAAATCCTCCCCATCTCACAAAGCAAAAGCCCCTCAGTTATGGTCCTTCACTGGATTACAAGCTGTATGAGGGCAGGGACCCACCGACCCACTGCTCCCCTTCAACACCTAGAACAATTCCTCTGGGTCAGTGAAGGTCTTTTGTATGAAGGATTATTCTACAAGCACCAAGTGCATCCTGTGTGTGGTCAGCACTGTGATCAGTGAGTGCTAGGAGACACAGCTCCTGTCCAGTGGAGAGGCAAGAGTCGCCATCACACAAAACAGTACATGGCAGATGCCTCTGAGGTGAGAGGTGTTGGTGGGGTCCGTGGTCTTTGCCAACCTGCAGAGCTGGGGGGAAGGGAGCCTGGAGTCGTATGAGAGCTCCCACGGAGCAGGGGCTAGCTTAGGCTTCTATGTGCATCCCCAGCACTCAGCATAGGGCTTTGCCCACGTAAGCACTTAATTACAAATGAATAAAATGCTTCATTCATTCATTCATTCATTCATGTGAACTGATCAAGAAAGGTCTGAGCAAAGACACGGAAGTGAGGAATCTCAGAGGATATCTGGTGAGCATCCCAGTGTGGCTATAGGAGATGATACACAAAGGGGGGCAGGTGGTCACAAAGCTGGGAGGAGGCATCTTGCCGACTCATCTTGAGCCTGTCTCAGCATTCTTTCCTTATGTCTGATCAACAATCTAGGTTAGACTTCTTTCTGGATTAGGGCTCTGTAGCAGTCAAGTCCTGGAAAATGGCTTCAGTTCAAAATTTCTAAAACGTCCCTGAAACTGTTGAAAGAATTTAAGAGTCTGAGCTCAAAAAGCCACATACTACCTGGCTTCAGTGAAGCAAACTAGCCTTAGACCCACCCTCCATAATGACGCATGTATTTGTTAGATAGTGTTTGTGCAGGAATGCTCCACTGGACATCTCTTCCTATGCTACTTCAGGAAATGGCTTTCCTCTGACCTCGTTATCCTTTGGCTGACTACTGAAAGGCAGGTACACAGTGGGGGCTCATGCCCTATATAGTTCAGGTGGATGTGGGGGTGCTCTAGGAGGACGAGCCCCTCTGGTGTGAGGGCTGCTCATCTGCCTTTGGTGTCCATCTGCCACTCAACTCTCAGTCGTGACTCCAAGAAGTAGCAAGCAAAGTGGCCACACCCTGGTAAAAGCATCTCAGCAGACAGGCTAACCCAGGTAACTGACAGGCCTCAAATCCATCGGCGAGCACGGGAAGACGTCCCCAGCAGAATGGGCAGATGAGAACAGTTTGTTCCAACGGCCGCAAAGGCGGCTGAATCAGGCACTGTGGAGAGCTTAGAGCTTGGTGGGACGTCGAAGACATCAAGGTCACCCTGACTTTTGTCTTGCCACTAGACCGCGATGACTCTGAAGAGAGTGAGGCTGACAACTCTGTGCAGCTCTGCCTCGCTTAAATCCAATCCATGAGCCAATCAAGATGCCATCCCATGAGGTTACTGGTTCTCTTCAAAACAGAGGATGGAGAAGGAGTTCAGAAGAGCAGGTGCGGAGGATGCCTTCACACTGGGGTGGTCATCCTCCAGGGAATTCCACTTGAGGACAAGTTCAGGCAGTGTGGACCAGAAAAGCAGGCACTTGAGAAGGGCGTCAGAGAAAAGGAAAGCAAAATTTGCACACTCCTGGCCTGGGAGTATCGAGATCCGAGGAGAGTCTCTATTTCTTCTGGGAACATGTCTGTTCTCTAGGAACAGACCTTTGAAAAGTCACCCTGCACCATGTGCAGCAGGTATCTGATAACTGCCTCTTAAACTGGAGTACGGTGCCTCTTTTCTGTTTTATCTGCCACCAGGCCTCCTCCTGGCCTCTTGGTTTCCCCCAGACCGGTGGGCTCAGTGGCTCCCTGTTACGTTGTACAGAGCTGGGACCTTGGACCTCTGGATCTTGCCCTGCCTTCCACACCCAGCCCTCCTCCTGGCACATCATCACCAGTCCTGGCCAAACCTCAATCTAGGTTGTGAACTTTGGTCAGATTGCGGACAGAGAACACACCCCAAAGGATGGCAGATAATGAAGTGGGGGAGGGAGCTCTGCAACAGAAAGGAGTAGTCCTTGAGGCTGAGGACCTTGGAGAAAGCCTCTGTGCATGGGAGTGCGGGCTTGGTCTGGAGCCTGAAAGAAGGGGAGGGAAGGGTGGGGGTGGGCACACCAGGCAATGGACTAGAGAAGATGGAAAGGATGCTTAGGAGGGGGCTCATCCATCACAGGGAACAGCAGAGGACAGCATTTCAGAAATGTTGGCCACACCCTAGATGATAGAGGGCCCTGCATTTCCTAGGCAGTGCAGTTAATGAAGACTTGGGGGCTGAGGCTGGCCTGCCCCAGTGGGTTTTGGGGAAATGATTCTGGTAGCCGAGTAGGGGTAACTGGAAGCAGAATGCAGGCAGTCCAGGAGGTCAGAAGGAGACTAGGGACAGTCCAAGAAAAGGAAAATGGCCTTTTTCTTCCCTTGGTGCTCTCCAAGAACGAGCCAAAGCCTTCTTCCTTTTCCAGAACTTGGTTCCTCTTCTACAAAATGAGGATCTCTCAGGTCCTAAAGAATGATAGGGAAAAGGCTGGAGACCAGGCCCGGTGAGGATCAGCCTCAGGAACTGAAGACATTTCATTTGGAGAACAGAATACTTAGGGAACGTGACAACCATCCTCAAGTACAAGAAAGAATAATACACATTTACTAAGCACCTACTGTGTGCCAGGCTCTGTGCTCAGCACTGAGGATACAAAGAAAGTCAAAAGACAGCCCCTGCCCTCAAGGAGCTCACCATCCAATGGGGGACCACAAGCAAACACAATGCACACGCTCCTTACAGGATCAGTAGGAAACTATCAACAGAGGGAAGGCCCTGGCACACAGAGGGGTCAGGGAAGACTTCCTGTAGAAGCCAGGGAGGTCACCAGTCAGAGTGAAGGAGGAAGAGCTCCTGGCATAGGGAGCAGCCACAGAAAATGCCTGGAGCTACCGCTAATGGCTGGTATCCTCTAAGAGAAGAGGCAGCTAGCTGGCTGAGTGGATAGTGATGGGCCTGGAGTGAGGAAGACCCGAGTTCAAATCCAGTCTGACGCTGTCTAGCTGTGTGACCTTGGGCAAGTCACTTAACCTGTTTGCCTTAATCCACTGGAGGAAATGGCAAACCACTGCCAAGTAAGCCCCATGACCAGTATTGGTGTGCTGCGGTCCACAGGGTCACAACAACAGAAGCCTGGGCTGCTTCAGACGTAATGGGCAGCTCCCTCCCCGGAGACAAAGGATCACTTGTCAGGAATGGCTAGGAGGATCTGGCCCCTGAGGGTTAGACAAATCATCCGACTCTGATTCTGAGTGAAGGGGCTTGGGGCCGATGCCAGCCACGTGCTCAGCTGCACTCGGGTCCAGGCCATCTCCGGATCATAAGGATGGGTGTGAAATCATCCTGGCACCCGTGCTGGGCACTGGAGGGCAAGGGATAAGGGGGAGAAGTGGAAGGGAAAAGGACATGAGCCACAACCTGCAGGCAAGGTTTGGATTTTCCTTCTTCCAGATCGAATTTCCAGGTGCTCACGAGAGCCCGTGCTGCTGCCGAGCTCTGGCCTGTTCCCACCTGGTCTTCCTTTGCACATCCACACCGGGCTGAGCCTGGGATTCTCATGTTTAGCTGAGGGAATCCAACTCAGCAGAGATTTATTAGGCCCCAAGGACATGCAAGGCATGAGGCTAGGTACTGGGGATAAAATAAAGCAGTCCCTGCCCATGGGGCTAGAGGTCTACTGGGGGAGGGGGCGATTTCTTGAAATAAGGTGTGGGGCTCTTTTTGTGGTCCTAGCTTTTGGGAAGCCCAAGGATTCTGAAATTCTCTCTTCTCAATTTTCCAGGTCCTTTACATACACATACATATCTACACATACACACCCCCCCCATATATACGTACATATAGACACATACACGCATATTTAAACGTGAGACATCTTACATTCCCTTCATCCCAGCTTCTGACTTTGTTTTGTAGTTTTCGTTGTCTCGTAGTAATTTATTAGCTTCTATTTGGCCCCGTCTAATTTTCAGACAGTTTTTTCTTGGGTTAAATTCTGAACTTTTTACTCCGCACTGTTAATTCTTTTTGTCTTTCTTTTCCCCCCATGTTTTCCCTCTGCCCCTCTCATCTGGATTTTAAAATAACTGAAGGGATCTTCCTGAAACCCTTCCTTCATCTCTTCCTGACTCTGGCTGGCCTTGGACTGCGCTTTCTCCTTCGCAGCCCTGCTGGAACCCCTTCCTTGGAAGTTTGTATCTAGAGCGTCCCTGTCACCAGAAGAGCTCTTTAAGGTGGGCTTCTTCTGCCTGCTCGTTTTTACAACCTTCTTCATGCCTTGGGACTTCATGCAATGCTCTGGCCACTTCTGGGGGGAAATCCCGCAGCTGCCCCACATTCTGGTTTTCTTGTCCCTTCAATAGCCCCTGCCCCTTTTACAAGCTGGGGATTCACCTGGTGTGGGGAGAGAGCACGCTTACAAGCCATAGGGACCAGCCCTTCCTGGAAAGGAGTCCCACCCTGAGAGACCCCGGCAAGGCCTGGGGGGGTGGGGAGAGGAGAAGGCTCGCACCTACGAACACATAGTTCTTCTCATAGAACCACAGCCAGTCCTGCAGGATGAGCATCTGTGCAGGAGAAAAGTCTGACACGTCATCGCTCAGTCCCTTCTCCGAGAAGTCCCCGGTCACAAAGGCTCGAGAGGCATCTCGACCTGCAGCAGGGCAGAGCACAGGTCACTTGGTGGTACAAACACCTGGGGATGAGGAGGGCATCCTGAGGCCCCGGGCTACAAGAGGGAGGGATCACCCCAGGGCCCCCCCAGCCCTGCAGGGGGCAGAGACTAAGGCCACCGGGTGGTGGGAACCCCTGGGGATGACGAGGGCAGCTGGAGG